GCCCCCCCCCCCCCCCCCCCAATCTTAATTATTTTGGAAAAAGGAAAAGATCAAAACACTTGGTTAGGCACAGGTTTTTCAGATACATCCTTTAAACCATAACTCGACTTTCGGATAACGTCCGGGAGACTCATGTGCTGTGACCTATGTTATTTTCAAACTGTGACAAAATGGCTGACTGCTGAGGTTAGGCAGCTAAGGGATGGTGAATATGATTATGTTTTGGCATATTGATGAAGACCATTTATCTGTCAATATATATATGTGTGTGTGTGTGTGTTTTAAAATATTTAATTGTCCTCAGATAAGTTCAACAAGAAGTGATCATGCATGTAGAATGGATTCTAAATCCTGGTTTGGATTGCTTTAAGCTCATGCAGTGGATGTGGAAATCCAAGATGAGCTAGTGAGTTTGATTATGAGGTCAACTCACTAAAATAAATGACTGCAAATGACTGCCTTTCAGCCACTTTGTCATTGTCAAAATTCACAGTCATGTAACTTAACAAATTATTAACTTACTTAAAGGCATAATAACTCTTTGTATGAGACCTATATTTCACAATAAAAACCTTGTGAATAACTCATAGAAATATAATATATTCTGTTTTACCAAAAAACAGCAGTTATAGCTTTTATTCTGATATTTGAACTTGTCTTTAGACCACGTGACCTCCATTGATGTCTATACTCTGTTANCAGCCTATGTTATCAGCATGAATGGACAAGGCTTTGTTTCAGAACCTTTATTTCGTTCGCTATTCATAATTCGTTATTTGTACAGTACTATATCCAGTTTTTCCATTTTTATAATAATTTACATATTATGAATTTCATTTTAAATGTATATATTTTATAATTTTGAAGATGTGCCCAAATCATATTTCATGTGTCGGTCAGACCTGTAAAACGATAAAACCCCTCAAATGAATGTGTTTCATGTCAACATTTGAATACGCGGCCTCATATGAATGAAATCAATTACCATCAGAACCAAGGAATATAAGCTCAGCAGATGATTAAAAAAACATAAAAACCTATCTTTTTAAAAAAATTATGATTGTCCATTTTATATTTTATAGTACATTATAATTGAACTTATTTCTGTTGACTTTTAATATAAAACATTATAGCCTAATTAGACATTTTTCTCTTTTAGGTTTAAGTTAAAACTTTTAATGCAAGACACGTTTTCTCTTTACTTTTAATTCCATTAACTTTTAATCTAAATGAAACCTTTTAACATTGTATTTTATTTGTATTTGCATTGTACATTGTAGGCCTACTTTGTAAACTCTACCGAACATAGGGCCTATTTTTATGGATTTTAGACGCTAAATAAATATATTAAAAATAAAATTATGAAATATATTATTTCCTTCCGAAATGCCAGAAATATATGACTATCTAAATGAATCATGAATCGTCAAAACCAAAAACGAAAACGTCGAATATAAAGAGTTTATGTACAGCTACACCCTACAGGTTGAACAACGTTTTGTTTGGTGAGAAAGCCCCGTAGATCTACAGTAGGCCTATGGTGGACCTATAACTTAATATTTGTATGTTCAAAACGAAAATATTGGCATGGGTTACAGTGACGGATTTAGGGAGGGGGGTCAGTGGGGCCCTGAAAATATATCACACCAATATTCCACTCTTGAAATAAGAATTTTGACTAGCAATATCATAGTTCTAAACCATACCAAAGGGCACTGCTTGCCCTCCAAAACACCAAACATTTTCGGTACCCTTGAGCAGTCCCCGAACTTCACACCAAGGGGGCGACGGTCGGCTTCGCATCCGAGGCCTGTAGTTCTGGACCCCCCCCCCCCTCCTCCCCCTTCAAACAATCCTGGATTATCAAATCAAAATTTGTTGCTTCCATAGGCCATTCCTTTCATGTTTCAGTTATTGTGCAAGTGGGCAGGATCTTATATCATAATGAACCTTGTTGTAAATTGCTTAACTTGGGACATCTTTGATATGCAGTGTCTAGGACCCACGTAGGCTACTTACACACTGTTACAGGTAAAGGACTTTTAACTGTGGTGTTCGATCTTTTTTTCTTATCATGGTATAATTACATATTTTCTATCCGTCTGTTTCTTTCATCTGTTATTATTATTATTATTATTATTATTATTATTATTATTTAAATGTTTTATGTTCTTCTACAAATCTTTGAAATTCCACCCAATCCTAAATCTAAAACCAGTAGACTGAACAATCATCACCGGTTGTGCGAGTCACTACTAACACAATATGTGTCACGAGCGTTTCGTCATAATTCACAACAACAGGAACAAGGAAATGGGACACATTTATTGATAACGATCACAAAGGCTTCGGGGACAAGACCTGACAGTTCCAGGTTGTATTATTTAAATCCCTTTTTCCTTGCTATTACAGAATTACTCAACATTTCTCAGCTTGTTGGATTGATCAAACGCGACCGCTACAGGTAGAGGTCAAAACACGGCGACAACCTGACCATAAATTCTCAAGTCTCCGCAGGTAAGGAAATCTGTACTGTTCATCTTATCTATGTTGGAAAAATTGTTGCGTTTTTTAGTGTTGTGAGGAAACAGGCATGGGTTTTGTCTCATATTTACCATTTGATGTTTGATAAATTCACAAACAATATTTATAACATTCGATACTGTTATTTGGCCATTCTTATCATGCTTAGGCTACTAACACAGGTCTGTGGCATAATTGACAAAGAGTGTTCTGTCTTACAAATGGGAACAGAAAAAAAGTTTGTTTGTATCTCAAGTGTACTTGAACTTTCTTGGAAGCCTGCTAGTACTAAAACATTAAAGACTATTATAATCACAGTTTAGCTGGATCGACAGCAGGATTCGCATGATAAAGGACTTCCTTTATATAGTTATTTACATTGGCTCAGGTCACCTCTTGGTTAGGCNAAGAGTTATTATTGCTTTAACTGATTGCTAACACAGTTTATTTAACACACACATACTGATATATATATATATATATATATATATATATATATATATATATATATATATATATATATATATATATATTTGTTGTTTATTATAATATTATATATTTTTTTGTTTCAAATAATTATTCATTTGTAATAATGGACATTTCATTTTAGAAAAAGGACACTGTCATGGGTGACATTGATTGTGGAAATTGTGGGGACTGCGGAGACTGTGGAGACTGCGGGGACTGCAACTGTTGTGATTGCTGTGATGGAAATTGTTGCGACTGCTGTGGCGGAGACTGTTGCGACTGCTGTGGCGGAGATGGCTGTGATTGTCTACCCCCACACTGCTGTAATTGTGATCATGGGTGCTGCAGTGGTTGCCTCAACACCTTATGCTGCCTTTGCATTGCTGATGACATGATATGGTGTTACTGGGACTCCTCAGTAATAATGCCAGTCCAAAAGCGTGTTTGTGTATCCAAGGAAAAGTTTCAGAGTTACCAAATGTCATGTGCTCCAGTAACATCACAGCCTGTTAGCCATGTACAGAGGCAGCCTGGTGACCCTGAGCAACAGCAACCAGCTGGTAACCCTGAGCAACAGCTACTAGATGGTAACCCTTGGCAACAGGAGCCTGGTAACCCTGGTGATCCAGTGACATCACAGCCCTCTTCGCCTCCACCTCCTTATAGTGAAGTGAACCCATCTGGAGTTAAACCTCACTTAGACTCTGATTAGAAAAAGACACAATGTGATTTATGTACTTCTTATCTTGCCTTGAAATTACATGTAATTTAGCAGATTTAGAAGATGTCAAAGTTTCAGCAATATTCCCTTTTTCACGGAGGTGCAACCAATCCATGTATAGTAATTAAACTACTGCCAATCAGGTAACAAAGAGTGTTATTACACCATCTGCACTACCTAGTTCTAGATCTACAACACACTCGGCCCAAAGACATTGATCCTTCATTCGATATGTTTGCAAGTCCTGGTATATGTGCATTGTAATGTATGCTACTGTATTAGGGCATCCTGCAGTTCCACAATATGACCCGTGGAAACTTTTCAGGAGACTTATTTCTTAGTCCCATTTTTAATTACAGGTGTAGTGTAATACATCATCAAACCATCACTGAGAGACTACTTCCAGTGGCTTCCCTCAGGTTGAACAGTATGTAGATGTTTCAAAATGGATTTATTTTGGTATTCCACTTCCCAATTTGTTTGAGGCCATTGTGGTATTTTTAACTGATGATGTATTCCATGAATTTAGTGAATTCTTTGCTAATGAACTGTGGGTAATTATCTGTGTGTGATCCATGTAAAGATCTGTGCAAACACTCACATGCCCATGTATGCTAACACTTAATGCTCCCTTCTCTGTCTGAGAACAGCATTGGTCCTGTGGCACACATTTCTGCAGTTGTCCACGTTTAACTTGATGATTCTCAACATAGAGCTGAATGCAAACAATATTTTTTTATTGCTGTAGTACTTACCAATCTGAAGTACCGATACGTATTTAAAATAAAATAAAAGGAATGTTTTTAGGAGTAGCAGTTCATAACTGTATGATTGATATTATTTATTAATGCAAAGTCCAGAATTTGATCATTCTTTACAAAATAAAGTAATTAGAGACCTGGCAATTGTCAACACTACTCAAGAAACTAAGCTGTCATGAAAATATATTTTTTAAATATATATTTAGGATAGTTAACAATTTTAACATACAAACATTTCATTTTTTTTTCAACTAATGGTTGTATACTTTAGATTTTTTAAAGTATTGAACTTACAGCGGAACTCTTGACAATCTTTTTAATCAAATTATTTCTAATATTAAAATATGAAGATAATATGAGTAACCTGCATGCTTAAAGGGATAATAACTCTTCATTTTGGCCAGAAAATGAATTTTCCTAGAGTAAACAACAATTTTCCCATCCTTACCAATGGTTAATGAATCCATTTTTACATTCACAGTTAGTCCCTGTTTTTTTCTAAAAAGTTTGGTTTTTGTTTAAATCTCTTAAGAGATTATAATAGAGTATAGCCATCAATGGAGGTCACATGATCTAAAGACAAGCTCAGATATCAGAATAATAGCTATAACTGCTGTTTTTCTCGTAAAACAGAATATATATTTCTATGAGTCATTCACAATGTTTTTATTGTGAAATATAAATCTCATACAAAGAGTTATTATCCCTTTAATTACTTGATTTATCAGTGCAGAAATATTATGTTACATGCTGTCTTCCAATATTGTGTACATATTTTTATACATGTATGAATAGCTCAATATTTTTATGTTAATGTTTTCTTTTGAGTAAAAGTTAAGGCAACCTAATAATGTGTAGTCTTATAACAGCCTTATGTCAGTTAGGGTAATTATTTAATCTTTTCTATGGGCAAAAAATGATCAAACTGTCAGATACATAATTTTATTTTGAAAAATATATATTTTTATATATCATTTTTGGTCCTTTTACTGCATAAATAGAATTATAGAATAGCCTGCTTTTTAATTCTGTTGCTGCAACTCAATAGAAATGCTCTAATTAAAAGACTTCAAAAATACAGCACCTTTAAAATTCACAATTTTCCCCCATTCAAAAGATCAAGTAATTACCTTATTCCATGCCATTGTGTTCATATAATAGTTAGTTTGGGGGATTTCTTGTGAAACTAAACAGATGTTAAATTACAGTTAGGTCTTCCAAAAAAAAAAAAAAAAAGAAAAAAAAAGGTAATGTTTTATAGTCTATATCTGTATGCCCTGAAAGCAGAGTGAATCATAAGAAATCTTAAAAATGAAAATCTGGAAGACTTTTTAAAACATTTGTGTAGTTAAGATTTATAGAGTGTTTTACAAATTTTTATTTAGTCTCCACAATTAGCATAATACTCAGGTGTGCAGTTTCAAATTTAAATGTCTTTTGCTTTTTTTTTTTACATGTATCAAAATATTTGAGGCAAATTGATAAAACTCAAACTTACAAGAATTGTTTCTATGGAGTGAAATGTTTTGATGTGACTTGTAAATGATTAGTTTAACTGTCCAGTACCATGTAAAAAAGATGAGGGGTTGAAATTCCTCTATTGTTATGTGTTAAGAGTTTCTTTGAATAAAATTATATTTGTTAAAGTATTTTTTCATTCACTATATTTGTCTTTTTGATATGCCTTCATTATCTTGAATACAATTAATTTTACAATTTTAAGTAACAAGCACTTTGTATTATACAAAACATTGATGTAAAAACAAATAACTTTCACGAATAAAATATTGTTCGGGATCGAACTTTTCAAAACTGCTGTTGTTAAACTGTAAAAAAAATTGAGTATGCCCTAAAGTTAAAACATACAGCAACATTTATCAGAACTTCAATGGTGGATTTTGTTACTGATGACGGACAGTGAGAAAAGAAGAATAGCAGGAAAAACTTTTTTCCTTTGCAAAATCAAAAAGAGCACCAAGGACCTAATCATGGCATGCATAAATAAAGCTTACTCAAGCAGCCTTTGGGGAAAATAACAGACTTGTGGTACAATTATATTAACCATCTTGTGCATTGCCTCCAATGCCTTACACTTTGGTTTAACTGAATCCTCCATTACCAATATTGGGAAGCCCCCCCCCCTCCCCACTGGATTGCGTCCTTTCTGCGTCCCGTAGTACAACCCCATTTGAGAGTAAAAAAAATCGCACAAAGGACACAGAATGGATGGATACCGTTCAGTGTAAAGAGGGTTTTAGGGAAAGGTGCAACTTGCAATTACACACTGGTTTTGCAACCAATAATCATGTGCCATTTTCACAGTTTTTATTTACATTTTAAGCCATGATTATCAGTTACAAACCAATGCTTAACCTAGCACTGGTTGCAAACTGACGCAATAGTAACCAGTGGTCAGCTTCAACACATTAAATATATGCACATAATTGATGTTATAGATCAGTCTTATTTTCCTATGTACATGTACCTATGCTCATGCCTGGCTACTTGAAAAACTCTCCTCTCTCCTTATTCATTTCCAGGTAAGAACACTACCACCTTATTCCCTAACACTTAATGCGAGTATCATTAACAGTAACTGCTGTCATCTGGCATGGATAATATAGGAAATCCACTTTTAAAGAAACCAATTTGAAATAGTTTAAATTCAAGACTCTTTGTTAACCCTGACAGCTCCTTATTGGCCAGTCATTGAAAGAGAATTGTTCATGACATGTAGATGGCAGCATCCCAGATATTCCCAGATTTTTTACTATTAATAACAAATAGTTGAGTACAGCGGGAGATGGATTTATTCATATTGTGTCTTGTTAGCAAGTTTGCAGAAAGCTGATTCATTTTTGCATCATTTATGCTGATGCTATTCTGTTGTCTCTTGGTGGATATATAAATTTGCCTGAGCTAAAGGGTTAATATTTCTCTAAGTGTGCATTGTATTCAAAATGCATTCCAAAGTCTATGGAGCTTTAGTGTTCAGATAATACTCCACAAAGCAATAGTTGATTGTTACACAATAAGTCTCCCTATCCTTTGTTGATCAAGTAGCATCTAGCCACTTTGACACTCTGAATAGTACTCAGTGTCAAAGTAACATCTGGCAACTTTCCAAAAACCAAAAAACTGAAGGTTAACATTTCTCTGTTGGTGGTAACAGCATCTGCACAACAGTAACCACATCATTTTGTTTTCCAGGCAGAGATGAGCTGACCACACTGTAATGTTGGCTGGATAATTTGGCTGATGAAACACTCCCTTCATAAACCAGGTCTCTTTGTGTGGATCTGTTCACTAAGCATGTGGACAATTCCTACGGGTGTGCCCTGCAAATTAGTACACACATTAAAATATATATTGACAAGAACATCTTTTATCTAGTGATCCGACTCCTATTTTCTTGCTTTATTACATATTGGATCAGTAAGTCATAAATATACATTTGATGTAATAGTCACACAATGTTAATTTAATAATATCTGCTACCTGTAAGAGCACTGAGTGTTAAATTCTGATCATTAATAATATTAAATATGCATTATCACTTACATAAAATGTAAACTCTTTAAATCAAATTTTATCAAAAAGGAGAAATGCATCTCAGTTATAATTTCAGTGGAAAGGGAAGTCTAAACTTTCAGAAATATATTATTGGTGTATACCTTCCTCTCCACAGAGACCACATTTTCTAGATTTTTTCTCTCCAGGCTGACGATTTGTGTTGCTATTTCTCTTCCTGGCTCCATTTCCAAAATGGTCACCTGAGATAGCAAAAAAGAGGAGAAACTACACCATTTGAAAGTTCGAAAATTTCGAAAAAAGAACAAAATAAAATGAAATATATACATATATATATATTCAAAGTTAAATTGTATAAAATCTCAGCAAAATTTTGTAATAGAGTTGCATGCAGTTCATCTGCAGGGCATAAAACACCAGCTAAGTAAGTAATACAAAATCAAACATTAATTTAGAGAGAAAGTTTGAGAAAGGAGCAGGATACCAAGTATTCTAGAACAGTTGAACCACTGCTTTTCCAGTCTGATCTTGAAGATAAGTCTATAAGATAATCATGTGTGCAGCAAATTTCATTATATATGTACCTACCTGCATTGCTGCTGAGCATGGAGTCTGGTTCTTCATCTGCCCACTGGAAAAATCCACACCCCTCACCTCTTGGTTTTGGACAAGCATAGAATGGGCGGCCTTTATTTGGTCCCTCTTTGTGCACTGTTAACCTAAAAATAAATGATATATGTATTAAGTCTGTCACCCACTTAGTTTTAACACAGATATGAAGCCAGAATATATCTAAAATAAATGCAGCATGTGTTTTCTTCAGCTTTAAATTCATTCATGGCAAAAACGTTTTTGATAACGACAGGTGTACAAAATCTTAAATTGTCCAATCTATTGCCTTTTTTCAGTGCTAAATACAAATGTTTTATCACAAACATTTCTGATTCTCTCAAAAGTATTATTTTTGATATTCATTTTTACACTTCTTTGTAAAAACAAAGTGAAAATAATTTGACATATGCTATACCCTAATATACAGTCAAAAGAAACAACTATATACAAAAATTGTACTAAAAATCAACCAGTTATTGTCCACTTACTGTTTAGCTGACTGATGGCATCTGCACTGTACCTCCCCATCACCTGCACTGTAAGCTGAACTCTGCTGGGAAGGTGCCAAGGAGTGGCTGTTAAAAGTTGACGCTACTGCATCTCCCCACTGGAAAAAGGCACAGCCCTCGCCTCTCGGCTTTGGACAGGCATAAAACTGACGACCTTTGTTTGGACCTTCTTTTTGCACTGTTAGTCTGAAATACAGACAGACAAATCTCTAAACCACTTCAGTATTATTGAAGATGTTGAAGTGAAAAAAAAAGGATAACATATCTCACAGCTACATTAAAACATAATATGATAGGGCACATTTAACATAGATCAATCCAACTCTGCAGGGACTCCTGCTGAATGCAATCAGATCATCAGATTAAAATCTCATGGGGTTGAGTAGATTAGAGAAAAGCTGGTGATTACACGAGAAAGTTGGAAACAAGAGAGGACTTGTTAATCTGTTAAACTGATTGCATTCAGCAAGAGTCCCCGCATAGTTGAATCGATTTATGTAAAACAACAGTTTTACTAAAATGAGCCCATTAATAATCACGTACATGCAATATTAACATAGACTGAATGTGTTAAGCATACCTTTCAAAAAGGAGAATATTTACCATCTGAAGATGCACTTAATATTATGAATTTCATACTGACAAACTTACTGTTTTGCAGCCTGGTGGCAGTTACATTTTACACCATCTTCAACATGTCTGGCATGAGGACTACTAAGAGGCAGTGAGGAACCATTTATAGCATTAGGACTTTGCCTATTTTCAACAAAAACAAAATGATTATGATGGGGTTACACATATATTATAAGGAAATGACTACCACTGACTATTTTTCCTCAGTAAAATTGAAATTAACTGCATGGCAATTTTATGCACAAAGTGGAAGAAAGATGAGCAAGCTTATAGAGTACTTCTTAGTTAGGTACTTGACATAGTACTAATACAATAATATACACGATTGCTTTAAAAAGTCTTAAAACTGAAATCCTCATAACAGTCTCCCACATACTCTAAAGTTGTCCTTGACGTACCTCAGTTGTGGGTCAGAAAGTTGATCTGCCCAAAGGAAGAAATCACAACCACTGCCTTGAGGGAGGGGACATTTGAAAAACTGGCGTCCTTCAGAGAAAAGAAAAGAGAAAATGTTTCAAGAATGTTGAGAATATATAAAAAAATTCTGCATACTTCTCTTGTACCACTAGCACATTCACCATAGAGTAGCAAATATATAAAATCCTAATATACCAAGTATATTGTTAAAAATTTGCATAAATTATGAAACTGGAAAATCTGGATAATAAGCAAGCTTCAGTCCAGGTGACCAAAGAGGTATTTCTTTAACCTTAGGTAGGTCAAAGTAAGCTAATATAAAATCATGCATTAGCCCACAAATCTTCGAGAATTGTGGATCTCAGGCATCCATGAAAGATTTTTTGTGAGCGAAAGCCAGCTTTTCCCTTGCTTAAGTTATTATATATAAACATGAATGCGACACCCTGGCAGACAAAAGACATTTAGCTCTTGTGTAGGACGAAGTACAAACTCTATAAAGTTGGTCAAAATGCTCTAAAACCAACTGAAAAATGAAGAGAAAGCCTTGAAACACAGTTGCTTGTTAAATGCTGTTAACATATGTCACCTGTATTTGGTCCCTCTTTTCTAACAGTCAACAGCATTGCATCACTACCACAATTACACACAGTGGCATTGCCTTGTGCTGGAGTTATAGGATCCAAGGGCATTCTAGCTGGTATTCCAGTTTGAGGAGAAGTCCCAGCGGGCATTGGAAACCCATTCCTTCCTCCAATTACAGAAGCACCATTAAATCTCCCAGTAGTACTTGACGATACTGGAGCTGCACAAGATGAGAAGTTTCTCTTTCTGTCATTTGTATTAGTAGAATTTCCACTCCTACTGAGACCCTGGTTGCCTTGAGAGTTAAGTGTCGAGTTTCTAGGGGTAGACTGAAAGCTGCTTCCATAGCCACTGTCATTACTTCTTACTGAACGCTGAGACTGCTTCAAGCGGGAATTCCCTGGAATATCAATGCTGTTAGTGATGTATATATAATACTCGAACTCGGCTATGTTTAATCTGCATTTAAGTATATTGTATCTTTAACCCCAATTTCTTGCAATTTCAAGGTTCACTGTATCATGTTGTATTGAATAACATACATTCCACTTCTGTTGACTTCAAATTACCTGTGAAATGCATATTCATTCCCTGTGTTAAGTCATCATCACATCCTCCAACACAGCCAACATACCTATAAATAAATAAATAAATAAATAATCCTACAGTCTAAACATGTTCAATAAACTGCGATTTCTGTAATAGTAAAACTGTAGAAAAAGTAAAAATGAAATTGTTTAAAGCTAAGTGATAATAAAAAGAATGGGTGCATCATTTGAAACATTGTGCATCATTCCTTTCTCCTGGTTTTCGGTCAGGGTTGGACCCAGGAGTGAACCACTGCAGTCTGTGAAAGTGATGAGAACTGAGATGATTTCTGAGTATGAATCAAAGAACTGACAAACCTATTGAAAACTACATATGCTGCAGAGGTGGCAAATTATCTTCTGGAGCTAATGATGATGTAAGGTTTATCATTCAAACCAAGATGTACGTCTTCGTTTTACTGGGTTTTTAAAATACAAATGCCTTTAATATTTTTTAAGGGCATCATAATTTGCACAATATCCTATTTTTAACCTCTAAATTACATAGTTATGAATTAACCCACTTAAAAACCTCACAGCTCTACTTACTCAGTAAGCATTGTTGGTGGAACTGACCCTCTCTTGAACTTAAACTTGATCTTATGCACTGGGCCAGGCAGACACTGCAATAAATGTTACAAGTTTAATCTTTTCTCTTCACACAATGACCAATTTGAATATGAAACTTTAAACTGTGTATGCCATACATTATATATGCTACATATTAGTTCTTGATACTGAACATACAGTATTTACTCCTTCTTTTCAAGGGGGAAAACTGAATCTTACAGATACTGTATTTTTAAGTCATAATTTCTTAAAATAAGATCATTCTTATTGAGTGGCAGCAACAAAATTAAAAAAGGATGCTTCTCTAAAATTCTATTCTATGAAGCAAAGGCACCACAAATGCTATATAGAAATATAACTTTTTTTGATTATATAATTTTGTACCTGAAAGTTTGACAATTTTTGCACATTGAAAGGATCCATCTTTCTCTAATATTTTTATTATTCATCAAAGCAAAGCTAAAATTTTTTATCAACCTGCACAGGAAAAAGGAAAACAGGATTATGTTAATACCTTATCACATATCTCATCTGTCACTGTTGCTTCTAACACAGCATCTGGGAACCACATGGCATTTCGGCACTCTGGGTACCCCATACAACTTAGAAACAGTCTAAACAGAAATACATGAAAACCTTTATGATAAGGTTAATGCAAATGCACATAGATGAAAGCAAAGTTAAAAAACAATGAAACATACAACTAAGAGTCACAGCAAAGATTACACAAAAACCCAACACAAATTCAATTTTACCTAGGCTTGTTTTGAGCATAAATCCTATAAAAATGTAATGAATATATCTTAAGCTGTATTAGCTAGGTTGTTCGAGATAGACACCACCCCCCCCTTCTCAAGCAGCTTACCCTTGACCATCCTTCTTTCTCTTAATCAACATGTCTGTGGAACAGCCAGGGCACTGCAGAACTGGGACAGACACCTCATGAGGGGCCTCTACATCAGACAGTATAAAGAACAATATGTTTAAATCAACCTACTCAGTAATAATTCAGCTTAAAAGAGAGCTCCCATTAATGTGCTTGCAACTGATTAAACAAGATTTTTAGTATGCAAACTGGTTCTAATATTCATATTTTCATTTTATCAAAAGGTAATTCTATGTATACGTAACCAATCAAGCCATTCATGTTTATAACCCATTGTGTAAACATCTGGATTCTCCAATTGAATAAGGTTGGCTAATACTCACCTTGTTCAGTGTAAGGTTGAGCCTCTTCATGCAGGTAATGAGACAAAGCTTCATCAATTTTGCTGGCCTGGAATATTTTATCAAAATTTAATGGTAGTGAATATCAACTCTCTTAAATGTAAAGGGGCTAAATACATCTTCAAAAAGAGACAAGTTTTGTGAACAATAAGACAAATTTACTGTTTAAAACATTTGAACTTCAAAAATTGCAATAAAAATCACACGAATGCAATATATTTATAAAACTGATTGAAGAAATGTTTGTTAGCTTGGTAATTTGATCACAAAATAAATTCATTGTAAACACACTGAGAATTTTCCTACAAGTGTTAGCTTATGGCCAACATGATGCGAGGTCTCATCAGACTGATGTGTGTATATGTTATCACACGCTGACCATTAGATACTGTGGTACAGTGACCAGGAACCAATTGTTAATATCTGGTATATCAACTGATGGAGGCAGCTAGTCACAAATGCCCCCCCCCCCCCTCACCCCTTCCTTCCCCAAGTCACAGAAAATTTTGCCATACATTAATAAGTTTACTTACCTGCCTGCAGGCCTCAATAAAAACTTCCTTGTATTTCTGAATCTGCTCTCTTAAAACCACTAAAAGAGAAAAAAAAATATTACCCTACTAATGACTCAGAGGTTATATAAAATGAAATTAGGGTTTTATTAAATCTGTAAACCTTAAAAATTGGGCTGTAAAATGTACAAAAATCACTTACCATCCTTGTCCTTTTTTCCTTCACAAATCCTACAAAACAAAATCGAAAGCACTGTACTATAATTTAACAACAAACCCCTTTGAATATTTCAAACAGGTATTTACATAATCATCAAATTAAAAAAAGGCATTTTGAAGTTCCAAGAGAAGAAAATGTCACCTTGATTATTACGACAGCTGAATTTTATTTTACACACCTTTTTAAATCAGCTTCTAGTTCTGCTCGCAGGTGAGGTTTAGACATTTCATATCCCATGGAGTCGTAGCCTAAAATAATGTTTTCACATGAACGTTATGCACAAAAAATATAGATACAATTGGTAGTGATTATACTTTTCATATCTGACATTTTAAAGAGTCACATTACAAAAAAGTCACTTATAGGCCCAATATATTAATCTTTAAAATTGTTTCATCATTTTTTTTCTATTTATGAGGTATGTTGTTATTCAAGTAACTTTCACACCCTGCTTACTATAACAACAATTCTAGAAAATCCTTAAAAATAATGGGAAAGACAAGTTTTAGGCTTATAAAATTTAGTCACATTATTAGTACAGTAACAATACACATCATACAACTAAATGTAACTGTTTACACTGTTCTGGTGGATGAGGTCAGCTAAATAAATGAACTCTACTCCCTGACAATGTGAGGAATGAAGATAAAGGCTGTTTATACCTTCCACAAGCCCCATTCCCAATTCTCCTGGCACAAATCTTCCATCATTGCGCACTCCTACATAATTCCTTGATTTGATAGTTTCAATATGCTCTGCATGGGTTGCATCAGTACCTAAAATACATATATGTTGTTATATGTGATTTGATTCAATATGTTCTGCATGCTTATAATACATTGGGGATACATTTTCAATCTACTTTGGATTATTTTTCTCAAGAATTTCATATAAAGTAACTTAAATGAAATAAGGAATGTTGCAAGGTTGCACTGCCAGTCCCTGGACAATACCTGGGAGCTATCTTTCTTTCTATTTGAATAAAAAAAGAAGAAAGTTTTGATTTTCAGATTCTGTCATCAAAACACAAAGAGCCCATAATCTGTCACCAGAGTAGCTCTTCCCAGCCAGAAATCTGATAACATATTAGAAATGTTTTCAATTTTCTACAAAATAATTCTTCTAAAAAATATCAATAAAAAAATCAAAAACAAAGCAAAAAGATCATAAAAATCCTAATTTATCAACAACTTAACTAGATTTTAAGGATTCAACAAGTTGACAACAGTTATTTTATAAGTTTTACCTATGCCATGCTTCTCCATGAGTGCTATCAAGTCTGCCTCTGACAACAGCAAAGGTGGACTTGTTTCCCCATCAACCATCTACAATTATAGTACAATTTATCACATCAGTTGAAGGTCTTTCAGGCTAAAAGTTTGCAAATCTCCGAGACATAAACTTTCAAGAAAAAGGTCACTGGAGAGGAGAATGGCAAAATTTCTCCATGATTCTGAAAATTCCAAGTCTGTTATTATCAAGGATAAGTAGGTAAAATAACACATATCTTTGTATATTAATCAACAAAGCAAACCTTTGAATGTATGCCTTATACTTCCTATTTCAATTTGCTCTATGACAGGCCACTTTCACAATCTAGCAACTAACACTATTTTAACATGCTTTGTGTGCCCCTTAAACAAAAATTTATATTGAGTTGAATGCATATTCATGTTAGTCATCAGCCAACTCAAGAAGAAATAGGTATTTTGAACAGCAGACAGATATATTACCTGTATTGATGTTGGTTGAAAAGTTTCCCCTTGATTAAAGACTGGAATAACCTGAAAATTAAAGATAATATCATGGTAGAATTGTGGGAGAGAGTGGCCTCCGGAAAATAATCTAGCCAAGCAGAACGTATAAAAGCCCAATATTAATTTGAAAAACAGTTTATAATTTACACTGATTTCTAAAAACAAAATTAAGTATTTATTTTAATACTGATCATTTCAATTCAAATTTGTTTCAAATGAGCATCAAACATCAAATGATTGTATACTATTTCATTAATGCACTTTTAATAATCCCGAGCAAAACAACCTACCTTTGCGTTCCATTTATCATAGATATACACATCCAAATAATTCTTGGCTATTATCATCAAACCACTGGCTACAAACTAAAATTATATAGAGATCATGAAAAAGGGAATGATTCCTCCAAGAAAATATATAGCTCATATAGTTTCATTTATTAAATTTAGTTTTTTATTATTATATTAACCCCCCCCCCCCCCCAAATTCCACCTGTTAATGGAAATTTTGTACAAAAGCCAACAATTTCCTAAATTCACTTTTGGATGTACAATATTTTAAAAAATACCCCCCCTCACCCAAATTCAACCTGTTAATGGAAAATTTGTACAAAAGCCAACAATTTCCTAAATTCACTTAAACACCTTAACAGGAAAAAATACTCCAAAAGAAGAAAAATTCTCACTCTTGATCAACTAAAGCCAAATCAATACAATAATTATTGTGGAAAAAACAGTTTGACCTTTTAAGAAGAAAAAAAGAAATTTTTCATCCCTGTTGATGAAAGCACACCCACCTTTTCCTCAGCAATATCAATCTGCACTGTGGTTTCCATGCCCTGTGCATCCTGGGAACAGCAGGCCAAGAAATGGCGCACTATGTATTCATACAGCTTGGCTTCATTTCCCTGCAGGAGGCATAAGAAAGTATATATTTCTAATCCATGACATATCTTTTTAAACAAACAAGACCTTGATGTTAATAACATAAGTTCATATGTATCACTGCAGAGTAAATAGAAGCTAAACAAAGAACCATGCATGAAAGCTTGTAAAGTAAGATCATGTAACATAAGCATATAGAAGTTTGTGCAAATCAATTTTTTTTTCCTTTTTGCTACTCTAACCAATATCTCTAAAGAAAGCTAGGACACTCAAGGATCATGTTCTATAATATTAGATCTTTACCCATGAAAACCATACTTGTTGTGATACATAGGGTAAATTCAAAGTACTCTATCCATGGCACAATATGACATCTACACAGACTATAAGATGTCCAGCTTGCAAATTTGTTGACAACTACAATTTACTAGTACTATACAATTTACTTAAAGAAAGCCACCTTTAATCCACCCGTGACTGAAAGACACCATCAGATGCCACAATGCAAAGAGATGATAGAGTTTCTGCGACCTGATTGTCTGAATAGACGGGAGTAAGGCTTTTGTCTGATCCAAACAGGTCCAGTCGTAGCAGACCCACCTGTAAAGAGTTTGTGTACTTGGTAGGATGTATAGGGGGATGAGCATTATCAGTTTTGTTCCCATTTCTTGGAGTAGGACCTCGCTCCATGATCTGTCCTGCAAACCCTGGAAAATCAAATCAAAACATATTAACTACCAGTGATGTAGAAGAATGATAATTTAGATAAAGTATGACATTCTAAGATTCATGTCACTGAACATCTTTCATACTATAACATTGTCATTGATCAACATGACATATTTACTAAAAGTGAAATAAACTTAAATACACTAAATAATAGATATCAAAAATTATTACCTCTTGTTCTTTCAACAGTGTGCATACCTACTTAATCAACATTGTAACTAGTGTGATTTAAAGCTAAGTCATCACATTTAGCTGAAAATCCCCAGATTTCTGACAAAACTAATCAAACTGATCTCACCTCCCCAATGTGGACTTTGTGTTTGCTTCTCCACAAGTCCCCTCAAGTCCATGTCCTTGGGGAACATGTTAGTTTCTGTACGTGGATAACTGATGAACCCACTGGTATACAGCTTTTCAGCTATTTTCATGGTCTCTTTGGCATTAATGCGCAACTTCCTAGAGGCCAGTTTTTCTAACTCCTGCAAAATTGTATGATTTTGAACCCTGTTGTCTGTGTAACTTTCTCTACATCAGATCACGATTTGAAGTACCCTTTCTTTCTTCTTAAATTTTGTAAGTAAAAATCACCTCATACGTACATATGACATAAACTGTGGTAAATGAATTCATAGGGAAATGCATATAACTCCCCTTTTCTTAAAGACAAATTTATTTATAATTTTTCTTACCACCGTGTCCAGAGGGTTAGGCCTCCATTTGCTTTTTGGTTTAGTTTTTACTTCTTCCACTCTTGCTGTGGGGCTCTATTAAAAAAAAATTCTTTCATAATAATAATTATTATTACAATAATTGATAAAAGAATATTTGTGGGATATTTTTAAACACATACCTACCTACTTCCTTGTTAAACATTTAAAAAATGAGTAAAATGTATGTTACATCCTCTCTTGGATAATAAAACACTACCCATATTCACAAATATCTTTTGTAAGTTAAAATGCAAGGAATGCTTGTAACACCAAAGGAGCTAAGTGAAGAAAAAAAAACAGTATTACTAGAAACATAATTGTCTATTTTTTCCTCCTCCAGATCACTCAAATGATCTGTTTTACTGTTTATCATATATGAAATATCATATATAAATATTTGTTCCAAATTATATCTCACACACTCCAGTAAAGAAAAATTTCCATACCTCCATGCAATGCTGATACAGCACCAAACAGGCTGTGTGGTCAAACAACCTTACCCTGTAATTTAAACCTCATATGGGTTATAACTCGGGTGAAAATTTCATTCATTTTAACAAAAAATATTATATATTTTAACTGTTTTATGCTTAAAGTTATCAAATATTTTATCTTGCTTGAAATGATAATGAAATGAATTACAGGTACCTTTGGATCAACTTTAAATTTATTTAATGTAATTTTAATTATATCATAATATCCTAAGAGTATAACTGTTATAGTGAAGCACGTGGCAACGAGGCACACTCCTATAACATTATATTTCAAAGCACAATGATAATCTTAATAAACAATATAAATAGCTGTTTAAATGAAAAACCTTGAAAGAAAATCTCTCTTGGTTCTATTTTCCTACAACCAAGATAAGCTGACTGCTTTGTGTTTCTATGCAAATTATCCTGACGTTGCTTTACCTTTTCCAACTGAATTCTGCTGCGCCATCTTGTACTTTGTGAGTAACTGAAAATCAACATATGTTATCAATATTACAAGATGATCTTCAGGTTACATAATTTACATTGGTCTGACCAATCAAAAAGTACCACTTTAAAGGATCCACATTCATTGAACATTTCGATTAGCATGCTAGGACCTGAAAATTGAAAACCATCCTATGGATAATATACACACTAGCCATACCTCAATCTGCCTTCCAGATCTTCTCATTTTCTTTAGAAAATATCTACTTCTACGATGGTGGCTACCATTTACCTTGTATTTTCCAGAATGCTTCAGAAACAAATTGCTGCACTTGCTTGTATCTCTCAACAACAAATCCTAAAGTGGGAAACTGACAGCTGCCATAGCTGATGAGCTGCTCTCCCAATACACCGGGAAAAATCTTCTGCAGTCTCAGGGTCTGGAATCTTGTAAAGGCAGCACCTAAAAGACCCAAGAATGTGTTGCTATAGAATTATAGTGTTACTGTTACATATAGCATAATAATGATACTACATGTTATAGTAAGATTTTAAACATCCATTTTATCTTGTGAATTTCTTTTAGCATGATGATTGGCATTCTCTCTTTTCTTTTCACAAACTTTCAATACCTCTTGTCTAAAAATGTGCTCAACTTCAAATACAGAATATTTTTTATTCCAGAGAGATTAAAAAATATTCGGTGATATTCTAAAAAACAACTATTCCCTCATCATTTTAAGGTTACAGATATTATCGATAAAAAAAAGAAAAGAAAAACAGTGCCTAAAAAAAAAAAAAATTAACTACTGAAAATATATAGAGCATATCATAATTCCTAATAGAAACTTCTCTTCATGGACATTTCTCACCTATTCTCAGGTCTAGCTCCTGCCTGACATCCACAGCATCACTCACATTTTGGTCAGGCTCCATCAAGTTTTGACAGGCTCTGGTTATTGCTCTGAAAGCCCAATCTTAAAATGAATATTTCTAAAAATCACTGCTCATCTTTTTCATATAATTACAGAGTTCACGTATCCCTGTAAAGGAGAATAAAATAGGCTGCTATATCAGCATATATTGTATGGCTAATGAAATGCATATACCTGGGTAAAATATGTATAACTACTTGTTGATCTGTTCAAATGCAATGGCAATTCTAAACATTTTTTGCAAATTACAGTCATTTAAATATGATCAGACAGAACAAAGTAGTACTATGCACATATTATCCAACTTCTCTAAATACAATAGTAAGAAACTTGTTCCGATGTGGTGAGGTCAAATAGTCCAAAATAATATCAAAGGTAATATATAATATATCAAATATGTGCATTGTAACGTAAATGTTATGTGAATGGTGATTTCATACAAGACTAGAAAATGTGTGAAAATTGATAAGGCACACACAGTTAACTTTTCAGTAATAAGGGTGAAACTCTTTGCATTGGGAAAGACACTTTAGAAAAGCAATGCAAAGGTGAGATCCAAAACATGTCAAATTCATAATATTATGATCGTGGTCAGAACTTACTGGGGTGTTATCTCTGAAAACCTGGCACGTAATACCCTGATATTTGGTTTAGCTGCAAAAAGGAAGAAAGTGTCAATCAAACTGGTGACACAGCTTAAGATAAAAAACTAATTAAAATTGCACGATTTATTCCTAGTTACTCATTTATGAGGACTCATATGACATAAGACCCATGATCTGAAATTTTAATATGTCAATTTCAGTGTCAAAATTTTCTTTAGAAAAAAAAAAACAGTAATATTTTACTATTTAAAAAAAAAACAAAAAAAAAAAAAAACAGTAATATTTTACCTTGTCTGCACACATTGATAATTTCAAAACCAATGTTTTCTCCTTCCCTATCTCCATCTGTCCATATAATCAATGTGTTGCAGCCTCGTACCTCTTTTTCAAGTGTCCTCTGTAAAGTACAGAAAACAGTGGTAGAACAAGTAACTGATCTATGTACATGATTGACTGTTTAATTGTTCTACATATCAGATAAAAACCATAGCTATGATTACCTGGCACAATGATCATGGCTATTGCAAATTATCTGTGTTAAGGCACATTATGTAGAGGAAAGCTACCAATTATTAAGCAAACAAACTTTAAAAAGAATGTTTAAAATTTTTTTAACAACAGCAACATGGCTTTACTTTTTCAAAATTTAACTTAAACTTGAACTTAGGAGAAACATTAAGCCACCTGTAGGCTTAAACAAAAATCAGGATTTGTGAATTCATTCTCTAATTAGTGACTGACTAAAAATTCTTCTTCAATATTTCAATAATATAAATGCATTTGCTGCAATATTGAATACACACCTTTATATCCACAAAATTTTCAGGACAACACTTCTCTACTGGTGCATCAAACAGTGACTGTGGAGTGCAACTCTGCCTTAAAACAGCAAATTGTTGAGAGTAAGAAATTTATCTCTATCTCAAAGTTGTGTTCATTTCAGGGATACAATCAAGGTTTAAATCACATCTATTGCAGCACTATATAAACCATATCAAGATACAAATGGAGACGTTATTAGCCAATTAATGAATGCTAAGGATTTGTGCATTTCATTTTCAACTTACCACTTTTTGTACTGGCCAGTAAAATCAAAGTTCATCAGGTGTCCAGAAACTGAGGTCATTGTCATAGTGCAGTTCATATTTAGGATGTTGGTTTCAAATTCATAAAGTTTGTTGAAACGTGACAACCCTTCTCGCTGAAAAAGCATTTTGTTGGTTTAATGTAGTGATGTTCTTTAATGCATGTAGATCTAGAGTTCTGCCATAACTAATACTATGAACTGTGTACAAAGTAAAAGAGATTGCATATAAATTTGCAATGATAGAGAGAGAGAGAGAGAGAGAGAGAAGAAAAATAAAAAGAAGAAGAAGAAGAAGGAGAGCAGGCACTGGTAGGAAGCAAGGAAAAGGAAATTCAAAAAGGGAATACTTTTACTTTGTAAAATTCAATACTTATTTAACTTCATGAATCCAATACTTATTTAACCTTTTAGATGTATTTCCTCCATAAGTATTTGAGGTAGGGCCATAAAGCTGTATAAAAGGTGGTAGCAGGTTGTGTAATACGTAAGCAGGGGGCAATGAGCAGGAGCTCAGGTTGGTAATCTGAGCCCAGGTATCATGAAATAACATTTTCCCATATTTCATGGCACAGCCAATAACAACTCATTCCAGGGGCGGATCCAGAGCTATTTACTGACAGTCTTCCAAATTATCTTTGTTGATTCATCCTCCAATTTTGACCGTCTTCCAACAGAAAAAATTAGATACCCGTCAATGTAAACTTGAAAATCTGACCGTCTTCCTGAAGACCCAGAAGACGGCCCAAATCCGCCCCTGCATTCCATTATGCCATGTTAAACAACTTATGACCTTCAAAAATGTGAAATCACCAAGTTGAAAATAAGTACTGCATTTTCTAAACTGCGCCTATACACTCTTGGTAAAAAGAACTTGCTCACAGTTCAAGGGGAAGCAGGTTTTTAACTTGAATAAAAGGTATAAAATACATTTATTACAGTACTGGTATTTTGGCTTTTCTTAACTGTAAGTCATATTAAATGTGGTATATGGAAGAAAAACTACTATTCAGAACGGTTTACAGCTGTCATTTAGAAATTTGTACATGCAGTAAAGCCACATAGGATTGAAAGGGGGCAATCTGGGCTCGCACATCACTTTCAGCCAATCTAAGCTAAAGCAGCTCGTGGTGCATACATAACACCTTATAGGACAGGTTTTCAGCACACCGGTCTGTTTTGGGCTCCCACATACGTTCTGATAAGTGAACACTAACAGTGACATTACATGTACCAGTACATCAACAACAAATGCATACCCTTCTGTATCTTCCCCTCGACAAGATCTCTGCTAAAGATTTCGCAGCATCATTTTTCTCTGCTACACTTAAAACACGAACCATCTTGGTAGAAACTGATGCAACTCGTTTTACAGATATATTCACATGGTTTCGCTGCAACCACTTCACATAATGAAACAGCATCGCACACCAGAAAGCACCGGAAGTATTCAAGTAACCCGCCACGCGTACCCACTTGTGGCACTGCCTTCAGTCTACTTTGACTAAATGTGTCATATTCATTTAATAAAGTTGAAAATGCCATTTATATTTTCTCAGTTATTGGTGATATATTGTGACTGATTTAGACAGATATATAAGATTTACACAGATATATAAGATTTTCTGCCAAACATTACAAAACCAATTACGGTAAACAGGTACTTCCTGTACGCAAACAAGTTCACTGGTTAGAAAGTCAGCAACCCGTACATCTATGCTGAAAAAACCTTACTTGGAAGTTGCACCCTCGTCGACAGAGATAACATGAGTCTTATCAGATACGCATTTAGACCGCTGAACACCAACAGACTTCCACTTTTACTGTGGTACGTATAGATAACGCCGCTAGAACTGGCAGTCAAAAAAGCTATTTAACACAAGTTATTTCTTTTGAACTGTCTTTTTTATCCAGATTCCAGAATGTTATACTTTTGGAATTTTGAAATAATCTCTAAAATTAATGGAAATAACACAGTTTTTAAATAGCCGAATTAGGACAAATGTGCGCTCACATTTCAGCCAGAAAGCTGTAACCACTGATTGCATTTTGCGCCACCTTAAAAACATACCTAGCCTTGATCAGTTTTCATAGGGTTAGTTGCAGAAGGTCACAAATGTTTTATACTTTCACATAGTATTGAAATTTAGGTGCACCTTTCGTGCATTCTGATATACATACTAAACCCTCAAGGGAGCTTGTACTATGTGGTCCAAGATTGGCAGATTTGCTTTGTATGCCTTCTTTTCGCTCTTGCATATTTGGATCCTTAAGGTGTTCTTTGCTTGAAAAGGTGGCTAATGGCATAAAAAATTCCCACCAAGAAGCATGACCAATATTCACTTGCACTGCCCCTGAAACATTAAGTCCATCTCGTATGGCATGCTAGATTGCATTGTTTTTAACTACTACACCAATACTCTGCCTTGATCTATTTTGTAAGTCTGTTTGTTTTAATTCATTAAAATACTTGTTGTTAAAGGTATGACAACTCTTCATATGAGATAAAAAATTATATGTATACATTTTAAAAAACATGAAAATATAGTAAATTCCATTTTACCAAAATGGCAGTAATGGCAATTATTCTAAAGTCTGTGCTTGCCATTAGACTAAGACCACGTGGACTTTCATAGATGGTTTAACTCTGTAAAAATATCTCAAGAGATTATTGCATCAAACACAATCAACTAACTTTAAATGTCAGAATAGGTTCATTAACTTTAGTTAAGTGTAGGAAAATCCTCGTTTAACCCAGGGAAATCTGTTTCATGTCTTTTTTTCGCACAAAAATGAACATTTGTTATCCCTTTGAATATATATTTAAAAAATATTTCCTTTGTGACAATTCTACCAACCTCTCCAGTGTGTTTGTGTGTTGAAAAGGCCAAAAATAAGGTCATCTGCACAAGTACATACCTAGTACTTGGTGCTTAATAAAATAAAGAATAAAAAACAGTGAATTTTGCACCCTAACCAGGTTTCAACAATATCTTAATATATATATAATGTATCTAATTTCATAGGAAGAGGAATGTCCATGCCAGCAGCAATAAGAAAGTAGACAAGGCAAGTCAAGAGAATGCTTCCAACAGTGAAAAAATTCAATTCTCTAAGAGCAAAGGATTTAATACTGACATTAGCCAGGACTACTGGTCAAAGGAAGAGGGCACAGACCATGATGCTCCACTTTGGCTTTTTATATCAAGTCTGTCAAGTATTACAGGTCTCGCTGTTTACATATGCTATATTAGGAAAGGAGAAAATGCCTTAGATTTCTGTATGGAACAAGCTGAAGCATATGATGGCAGAATAGACTTTGTGGAGTTAACTTTGAAAGTCCAGGAGGAGATGAAAAAATTTGAGGAACGGAAAAAACTTGGACAGGTAGTTGACTTATAGCATTCTTAGATATAAATGTAAAATGCATTCATAAAGTTCACATCAGTTTCAACCATGGGAATGAAAGATTAGTTGTAAATATATGATAATATATAAAATATCAAATCAGTACCAACTTACCAGGAGCAGTTATGTTTGAAAGCAGTTATTTGTTTAAAATATTGTATTTGAGTGACCTATGAATCACTCTTAAAGATTTGAAATTAATAAGTATTTTTTCCTTATGACAGAGTATAAAACAGGAAACGTTTTTTTTTTTTTTTTTTTTTTTTTTTTTGTCAATTTTGATTCAATATTACACTATTAACAAATAGAGCATAGTCTGGTTAAACTATGAAAAGTATGGCAGAATGAGTGGAAATAGGTACCAAAGTGAAGCAGAGGGTCCAGTTTCCTCTCACTTGCCCTATTCTTCATAGTTCACTTGGGACTGTGCTTTATTTGTTTTACTATATCAATGTAGAAAGGAAAGACAACTTGCACATTATCAGCTAAATTTGCTGGTCCAGCCATGTTTACTACTAGTAAATGTCTGATAATCTTAAAGATTCACAGATTTCCCCCAAGCTACACAAGAACATCTGAAATGCTGCATGTATGTTTTTGTCTGCTTCTTGGGCAAAGCTGCTTAATCTCCTGTGTCCAGCATGTTCACACAGCATGTCTGCTCTCTTCTGCCCATGTGATTGCTATTCATGAGGAAGAGGATCGTGGGAAGTCCATCAAAATAAATAAAAATAAGATTCTCCACAATATAGCTTATCTTTGGTCTAAATATTAGAGACCAAGCAATTCCATGAGAAGAATTTGATAATTATCTGGGAAATGTCCTTTTAACTTGGGTAATCCATTCTGATTGGTCTGTCTGTCCATGTTGTCACTGTGGCCGTCCAACAGATGACATTCCCCCATAACTGCATAACCGTATTTTTTTGTTTTACATTAAATTTACTCAGTGGCTTTGTTTGGCAAAGAAGCAGGTTGCTTTGGAAAATCGGCACGGTCAGTTGACATTTACCGTAATTATTTTGTTTTTTTCACAATTTTGGTGACAAAACATTTTCTGCATCTTAATGTCTCTCAATGTCATTTATCAGCTTTGCTGCCTCGTTTCCTGTATGTCTGTATATTTGTCAGCTTTGCTGTCTAGTCAATAAACAGCTTTGTTAAAAATGATAACTGACCAATGAGGGGCTAAGAGTTGTACAAGGTATTACCCAGCAGAACCACCACCAATTTTAAATTATGCACTCTTGTGATAGTTGACATTAAGAAAATTGAGCTTGTCCAGCGTTTCAGATACATGGGAACTCAGAATGGCACCTTGGAAAATAGATAATTTACATACAAAAAAAAAAAAAAAAAATCCGACTTCATGCAAAAATCAGGCATGTGTATGTACTGGAGCTTCATATAGTTCTAAGAAAATTTATTCTCAGTTTGAAAAGAATAAGTAATGCTATTTACATTAAAAATTTTCCATTTATCTGTGTTACCTGCAGTGCCTAATTAAAAATTGGGGCGATTAATAGATTATGGTGCTAAGCACTGTAATGATATATTGCATCAAAGATGAAGAAAAAATCCCATTTTGGGGATTGATGCCATAATGACCATTAATGGAAAACCCTGTTACTTTTGAATCTCAAAATTACAGAAAAGATTTATAGGACTGTTATAGAGCTTCAGTTAGAAAATTGCCTGATTGCATTTTTTTCTGGAAGTAAAGTAGTTTTTTAAGCACATATTATACTATGTAGGCCTATTGTCTTCAAGTTAATAGGAGTAATCACTGTTACTTAAATACAGGTTGAGTTCGAAAATCAGCTGGATAGGACCATGTTTCAGTAAGGACAAAAAAAGTTGTCTAGTAAAAAAATGTTAAAACATGTTTTTGACAGTTAACATTGTTTGGACTACAAAGGTGTGAAAGAGCCTCAGTATTTTATGTTGTTGTTAGTAAATTTGTTAGACAAATTATTGTTGTTACACTAAATAGTGTTATTTACTACAATTAAAGATACGTATTAGACTGGTATGGCTTTAAGGGTGTTGGGATGCCATCTTTCTTTTAGAATAATTCCTATTTCTCCTATACTTTTTTGATAAAATTTCTATTTTTTTGAAAAATTTTTCCTATTTTCCTGTTTTCTGAAGGACCATTATAACCCGACTCCCTGCTTTTATGGCAACAGTGATGCTAAGGTGGTGCAGTATTTTTTATCCTTTCACCAAGCTCTTAATCGTTTACATGTAACTGGGCTATAGACCTTGCTTATTTTCTTCTTGGAATCCACACATAAAAGTCTCATTTCATTTGTGCTTTGATTTTAAGTTAAAACTACTCAGCTTAGAGTTATGATTTTATTTTTTCAACTCCTTTAATAACATAAATCTTGTATTTCTCATTGTGTTAAATGAATAGACTGGAAGTCATAAATATTCATGTACTGGTCCCTTCCACCCCTATTTTACATGTAATTGTGTGCACTGGATTTTGAAAATATTTGTTAATATCTACATCACTATCAATAAATGCACTTCACAATGATTCAATAAACACTGATTAACTGAACATACATGCTTCATAACCATTTTTCAAACAGCCAGTCATGTCCTTCTGCTGCTCATGGTCATTTCTGCCAGTGTCTGTTTATCATTATATCTTTTGGTTACTTTGATTTGTGGATTCTTAAAAAAATTAATGTTTGATGATACTTGGTATATCATCTTCGATCTATGTGAAGGACTTCCAAACAAAGGTAACATTTATAATTCTTACTAAATTGTCCCACTTGCTTTCCGTCAGATCTGAAGCCAAGTATCACATAGCACTCTCATTCATTCATGGTGCACAGAAGTGATATGACAGTTTTTCTCAATTTGAGTTAATTTTTTTCACAATTCTTATAACTTCTTGCTTGGCATTGAAAATGCAATCTGGCACACCGACTCCTTTGTATGATGAACCAAGCAGACTCAATGGCAAGGAAGCTTCTTTACATTGCTGAAATATCTCATGTACAACCTCTGTATGACCAACTCTGTAAAGTGGTATGCAGTCCTGAAACACAGCCAAAAAATTTAAATCAATATTCCATATTGGTTCTTAGATGTAGTATATACAAGCAATATACACATTTTCAATGATAGACATGCGTCAACAAATGATCCAATAATGACTGTTAGCTATGTCCCTTTGGTGCCCAATATCGATCTATATTTAGCAGTCATGTCTTAAGCAAGCCAAGGCTGTAAATAGATTGAAGTTAAGACAAAAAATGCCCCCCTCACACACAGAAACAATGAAGCGTCACGTGTTGATACATGTATGATGTTGCAGTGAAAAAGCTTTGAAACAAACTTAAAAATGCTGTACAAAAATATACTGTATCATGGCATAATCAACCGTGATTTACATGATAGGAAAAAAATGAGCAAATTTTAATTTTTTTTTTTTTGTCTGGGATGAGATTGGGGAGGCTGTTAAAACCAATGATGCATGATGGGAAGAGGTTGAGTCCCACCTAAAAGAAACAAAATATATTTATACAATTACCTATCAATTCACAATAATTATTTTAAATCGTAGAGAAAAATTTATCCTTTGTTTATTGTTTTGCTTACTTTCTGTATCCCAATGTATGTTCTGCAAGGAGGTTGTGTTATTCCCAATTGCTCTTGTAGTGCAGAAATGGCTAATGAGGTAAGGTAGTCTGGATCTACTTTATCTGGATCTCCAAACTGCTCTTTAAACCAAGTTCCACCAAGCATACACTGAAATATCAATACAGGCTTTTATGTTAGCAAGTATGGCAGTATTTCTTCAATGTCAAAGTTTCACTGAATATAATTTTCCATCATCTGTTTGGATCACCAGAGTAACAAATAGGTCATGGTGTCATCTTAAGAAAGGGGCACAATTTCCAGGTTTGCCATTTTCCTTATACACACCACTGACTATAATATGTCTTAACTGATCTACATGCCAGTGATGGACAAAAGTTATAGACATAGCCCAATGTTAGGAAAACAATAAAATAAGGTACTTACTGTGAATACTGTTCGGTTGCCTACCACTCTGTCAGGAAAACTACAAGAATCATATATAACACCTATTACATTGGATGGCTGATCAGGAGGAACAAGATGTCCAAAACCCTACAAACAAAATTAACAAAAGACAATTAGCAATATACCTGTAATTTAAAGCAGAGTCCACCTAAATAAAAGTTTACCACAATTTCCGAATAGGACAGACTTGCATTTCTTGTAATTTTTGACTTTGGTGAAATTGTAGATCTATATGTAATAACAGACTAAGGGCGTATTCCCACAGCTTTTAGATCGATCTATCCCCGCGGGGAGTCTCACTAGATTACTGTCAGATAATCCGGGTGAAATGTTTCCCGCCTACTACAAGCTGTAAGGGGGTAATTAACTTTCGTGCTCGCTCGGCTGACACCTATTTAGCGTGAACCCCAGGGAGTTAGGTCGATCTAAAGTAGATTGTCTAAGAGAGTCATTTTGATTATAAAATCATTCATAAAGGCTTTTATGGCTTTCTTGTTTAAACTTGATAAACTGCTGAGCTGTGATACAGATTTTTCAAAGTAGAGTATTGAGAGTATTGTAGAGATGTAAGTGGGCATTCAAAATAATAATAATAATAATAATCATAAAAATGCAAGTGCCCAAGCTTAAGGCACACAGCTTTAAGTAGCGGTCTGGGTGTGTGCCCCTCATTCTACCCAGTAGTTAAAAAATTGAATGAAAATCAGATACTTTTCTGGATGTGCAGGGAGTTGAAAAGTATATGTGTGTAGTCATTCACAAGTAAATTAGTTGATTGTAGATATATATATATATATATATATATATATATATATATATATAATTATCAAACATATGCTTTAGTACTTTCATTCCATTGTCTTAATTGTCTTAATTGACTGTTGCAGCTTCTTTAATGTGCCATTCTTTTGAATGACAACATTTAGATGTAATCAAACTTCCATTTGCAAATGCTGACAATTACCTCCACTTTAAACTCCAGGTCGCTGTACTCCAGATTGACAACAGCCACAGTGACAGCTTGGATGGAGTGGAGCAGGCTGTTCAACTTACTGACACCAGTGAGGAGCTGAGATAAAGCTTCAATTGTAAAAAATAAAGAAATAACAAATACTTTGAGTTAAAATTTCAGTAAAGATAACAAAATTAATCCAGAATTTATTTAACATTTGTATATAAATAATCATTAAAACATACTTTTTCTTATAACTTCTTTTAAATTCACTCCCTAGGGAGTTTAGCAGAGTAATGACCTACATTTAGACACATAGGAAAATTATGGTGCAGCCAATATCTTGGTTATTATGATAGAATGGTTGCATGTGGCAGCTTACTTTTTGCATATATTGAGGAAAATATGTAATCTGCCTCCACACATCCTTTTTCTGTTTGTACCTGACAATGAAATATATTTGCAACTGTGATGTTTTAAAATTATTTGAATAAAGGGAAAACATTTTCATAATTGTCGTTTTTACAAGTTTTTAATAACAAATACTACTATTCCAAAAATAAGAAAAAATAATATTGAAACTAGAGGTTCAGGCAGGTGGAGATCTGAATACATGTCACTACCTTAATATTACCTGGTGATAAAATTGGTTGTATATAAATGACAAATTTCAAATAAGTAGACTTACAATGGCTTTAGACCCTCTGAAGTTGACTTCTTTGCAACAGGTATTAAGTTGGACATCTACTCTATGGTCTCGCTTTAGCTCAGAAGCTAAAGCCACAGGGAGTTGAGACAGCCCTTCTTGCAACGACCACACTGACCATCTCTCATTTTTAGCTCTTTGTAACATTCTGCTCTCACCATTTGGCCCGAGTATGTCACCAGCTGAATCCACATTTTGTGGTTTCGTTTTCTCTGTCAGTGAACCTAAAATACATGAGTAGTACACTATGAATGTGTGTTCTATACAAAAATGGGTTATAATTGTTTCAACTTGTCATAATAATTGCAATTTTAATTTGCTTAACCTTTAACTGTACACACACCATGTTGGAATTCATCTACCCCAAACATTAATTTTATTATTGAATATCTACTAATTGGGTTTTGTTTTCAATTTTAATAATTTTCTAAGGTTTTGCTCACTGAAACTACAGTTGAAAATAGCAGGGATTGTAAATAACCCAACAGTATAATTAGTATGAATGCATTCCAAATCTGCTTGTATGATAACTGTTCAATACATATTATATATAAAATAATAGTTAGCTCACCTAAGATCCCTTTAATCACTGAGCCATACTTATTCTCTGCCTCTAACAATGACGGAAAACATGCTTTCATGCTCAACAGTTTGGTATCTGCTGCATAAATCCCCCTGCACAAAGCTCCAATTGCATAGTTAGTGACCTGGTGAAAAGTATTACAAGACAAAGGTTGCAGTTATTATTATATTAAGCCAACTAACAGACTTTCCATGTTCAACTGGAAATATAAACTGCACAGCATAGATTTTAATAGTATAAACATGCATGAATTTTAAGCCAACAGAAGCTGACAAATGTACTTCACTTTTTAAACAACAATGGCTAACAAATGGTTAAACAACACATATCCTTAAAATGCCAGCTTATCATCTAAACATAATATGATGTTACAAATTGTCAATTTATTTATTGATAACTCATAATTAATTTCACTTCAGGCTGCATGGTGCTTCCTTGAGTTTTTATATATAGGGTATCAGACTGTAACATCTTCAAGAAGTATAACTAGAAAGTCACCGGTCATTCTGTATGTATGAATCTTTTTATGTGAATAATAAATAAATAAATAAATAAATAACTCACCTCTGCACCAAATCTTCTTGAAAAGAAATCATAGACCGATTCATCTGATGAGGTGGATTTTGCAGGGATTGACATTTCTTTGAAAACATAGTGTGCTAAGGATTTAGAAAATGGTGACTGCTTTGACAAAGTCTTAAAGAGACCTGGAATTATATAAAATGGACACCCTTAAAATTTTAAACAAGCATTAGAGAGATGATTTCAAACATGATACACTACATGCCATTAGAATGTTTAAAAATGTTTTAAACTATGGTTTTCAAACATGATTGTCTTTCTAGCAGGAGTCTAAGAATAGTAGAATAAAATATTTTTGCTTAACATTATTAGAAAGTATAAGATAAATACTATTATTTTTCCTTTCACAGTTTTCACACTTAAAAACAATATGAAAAATGAAACCTTCCTAAACTATTCCCTTACTGTTAGGTAGTGCATGTAACTTCCCATCTACATAGATATATCTGTTTTTTGCAGCTGGCTCTTTACTAGTAACTGCAATAACATCATCAACAAGGCCAAGTGATTCTACCTGGACAGAATAATAATTTCAAATTAACAACAAAATTATTTCAAGAAAGCTGACAGCAAAGTATTATTTTAGGATCTGTGTTTCCGTTTTCCATAAGTTATACTTAAAACTTAAAACGACTACTTTTTTTTAAAAAGAAAATGACAACCATTATTTGCCACCAAAAAAGTGAAAAACATCAGACAGTATCATGTACCAGCTCTATTGTTGCACGTGCAGCTGGTGTTGCTGTGGGAGAGCGTATCGTTCTGGGACCTTGCTCAAATATTGTTCCATCATCGAGCTGCAAGCTGTTAATCCAACCTCCCAGACGATCACTAGACTCGTACAAAACTATCTGTAAAGAAAAGGAGGTATAATTTTTTATGATAAAAAAAATCAAAACGAGTTGACTCATAGCTGGTGTGAATGTCAAGTCTGGACAAAAAGGAACCAGCCAGTAAAGTGTGATATAGAACATCCACATGTAAATAAAAAGCATGATATGTATATTATGCTCTAAAGTAAACATCTATCACAGTAATTAAATTATTAAAAATAAATAAGTAACTTCAAGAATTTTTCAGCAGTGCATTTTATGATGTAAATTATAGGACCATTATTGAAACTGTTAAAAATAATTTTGTTTACCTATAAATGAATGGTAATCCCAAGGATATAAAAACTAAACAATTACAAAACTGAATAGAGCTTATTCGCATGTAAATTTGTACCTTATCAAAGGGAAGATTTTTTACTTTAGTAAGGTAGTATGCGGCGGTGAGACCACTGATTCCTCCCCCAATAATAACCACTGTCCTGTCCTCGGTACCAGAGGTTGTACTGAAGTGACTGTATCCAACATATCTTCCAGTACAAGACGTCCCTCCATTCAAAAAATATTTTCCAGATTTAGCAGCACTGAAAAAACGTCTGTTGTCCTTTGGAATCGCACTGTTGTGAGGCTGTCTTACACAGCAATTGGTGCCAGAAAGTGTACAAAACTGAGCTTTTCCAAGATGTTTAAAAGTCCCACATGGAGCTGTCCTACATGTAGAATACAGCCTACGGATGCCATGTGGAGCAACAAGTGTCTGGCCAGGTCTTCTGTAGTATGAATACTTAACAGGACAAGACTTCAGTACCTCCAAGACTGCTCCTGTCTTTTTCATCCTAAACAAAAAAGGGGCAAAAGAATGAATAGTTAAATAGGTGAACTTAATGATGAAAATTCAGAAGCACATAAATGAATAATGGAAGCCACACGCAGTTGTCACCTTCATTGGTTACTAAACAGGGTAAATTAACTTAAAGACAACATAAAATGACAATTTAATTTAAATTTATTCTTAATTTTGTATAAATTCTTCTCCATGAGGGTCTATGGGGATTGTAGGAAATCTGTTAAATTTTTTTGTTTCTTTTTTTTTTTCTTTTGTATTTATGATTCTATTTTCTTTCTTTCTTTTTTTTTCTTTTTTGCGTTATGGCAGACTATTATGATAGTCTTAAGTCGTTTTATGTGATTTTAGGTTAATTTACCTGGTTTATTTACCAATTAAGGTGACACCCGAGCGTGATGGTAGCTATATTACCGTATACCAGTAACACAGCAGACGTTTACTCAGGTGTAACAGTGCAAGTTGTACTGTAACCTCTCTTTCACGTTTTATGTAATGCTTGACAATTGTTGTTTTCCTCTCATGTGTTTTACTTGAGTTATCATATACCTAATTCTTGTCTGACCCGCGTCGCTGAGTTCCTCTCCACGGCTGATGAAGTTTGCGAACAGGTGAGCATGTCATCTGTCATTCACTCGGTAATACCCTGCTGTAACATCGATGCGTAGTATTGCTAATAAATTATCCAAGAAAATCTACCGGTAGTTCCGTGTTCTTTTGCTCCTGTTATGATTTCAAATATTTCGCATGAACTTCTACATCCGTTAACAGTGCACGTGATGTGATTAAAGATTGTGATTAAAGAGATGCAGATCTGCTGGGAATCTTTTCTCCAGAGAGACAGATGGGAATCTCAACCCTGCCAGTGTGGGAGATCACCGTTTACTGGGTTTGCTGGCTGTCTGCCGTGGTTTACATTACTGAGAATACAATCTTAGCCTCAATTGGTACGTACCTGGGGCCGTGGGGGTTCACGTCTGGTATTAAACACACATGACAGCTTCAAAATCATATGTATAACATGTCATTTTTGGAATTAATTTGGTGATACAGTACTTCAGTTGGTTATTTGGGATATAACTATATTTTTATTTACAAGTAGACTTGTACCAGTAGACGTGGTACACAAAATTGTTTAGCGTTAGAAGATAATTTTAAATGTACGAAGCTTTTCTGCCATTTTTTAGTGGTGGTTGTGAAAACATAATATAACCTTTTTCTTTCTTTTTTATATATGTATCATGATTGCACATAAACTGTGTCTTTGTAGAATTTAGAAAATACCTCAGTCCTTATGACATTAGAAAAGGATGGACTGTTTTGGGGACCACACTTTACAAGGTACATGAAGTGTAGATTTAGAGAATTTTAAAATTCAACCTATTAACTAGTAGATATTTTCTTTAAAGACACCTAAGGCAAGCACTCTCCCAGTACACAGGCCTCGTAAACAGCAAATGCTATATGCTAAGATCTAATATGCCGTTTATTAGATCTTAGCTATATGCTACTATGCCTTAGATTTGGGAACACAAATGTCCAAATTAAGGCCTCAAGCCACAAATTAAATAACTGGACGTAAAATTAGTAGGCATGAACATAGTGTCAGAGTTTGGCCGAGTTTGCATGTATAACAACGCTGTGTTTGTTGGTTACTAATTTTACATCCGAGTACTTAATTCATGACTCACATATCTGTTGCTTGAGTTTGCAAACACCTACTCTGTTTATAAGCCATGAACTTTTTTTCTTCATTTTAGGATGTCTCCAATTTTGAGTGGGAATTTTGGTTCAGTGCCTGGGGTTGGATAGTGCTACCATGTTACATTGGCCATGGCATAATAGGGAGTTTGGTGAACTGGAAATGTCGGAATGTAGGTATTTATTTTAGTGCACAGGATGTTAAAAACAAACAGTTTAGCTTGTCACTGATTCTGATTAATGGTATTTGAAGCACTTGTTGGATAGAAGAAAGTTACAGGTTACCATAAATCTATATAATCTTCAAAATATTTTATAAAGATGTTTTCAAAAGCATTTTCCTTTTACTGTAAGTGTTTTCCTGTGTTGGCTGTTTTATAAGCGCTATAGTTTTAAGACACTACTTTTGATAAAGTTCTCTATTCCATGGCACAGTGCAGCAGCAGTTTAGAAAAAAGAGTAGAGAACCAGTATCATAACTAGAGTACATAAAAATTGTATTGTTTTCAAAACAGTGAACACGCATGAAATACTACATCTGAAGGAAATGTTTTTAAAAAGTAAATTTTATAAAACCAAACATTTGTTTTATATATTAATATAATAGATGTATTTGTTTTACTTGTTTGTTTTTACATATTCAAATTTATATATAATTCAGCTGAGGAAGCAGTTTTTTGTCCTGTACACTGTGGGTGTGGTGTGGTATGTGATGGGATTGAAGCAGCTGCTGATTCTGCTGCTGCACTGTGCTATCAGTTTCGTAACAGCCATGTCAGGGAGTTCTGTACTTGTGTGGATAGTATGCCTCTTGTTGTTGGCCACTCTCAATCATGAAGTTACTGTGCAGTGGCTGGTCAGTATATGGCTGTTCTCCAGATTTGTTCATGTTTGAAATATTAATTACCTTCAAGTAAAAAATTCACTCAATGATCATGCTATCACCTTGGCTCACTTCTGTTAAAAGTTTTAATCTTCCCTAGAAAAATTTTTTTTATAATTTATTGAATTGAAGCTAGTAATTCCTTTAATTGTAGTGATTTGTTGTTTCTGTATGTTTCCGTGTGCTATACATGTGTTTGCCTGTGGATAGTTTTGATTGAGTTTATTGCAAGTTGTATCAAACGTGTCATGTCACACAAATGTCATGTAGCTCTACTCTTATGTTTTCAGAGACTGGCAGTGGATGATGATGTCTTAGAAACAAAGTATTACCTCTTTGTCTTCACAATTGCCATGACAAACTTAAGGTACATCAGCTTCTGTCTTGAGAAAGCCAAAAGCATCCAGTTTATAAAAAGTCAAGAAATGATAACAGGAGAAAGTGTCCAGAAACAGAAGATGCCTCACAGGGAAGATGCTGCTTTGAGAGCTGTGGCCCAGAACTGTAACTTCATGGACATGATGACTTACGTTTTTTATTTCCCACTTTTTTTCACGGGACCAATTTTGACCTATGACAAGTTTCTAGAACAGGCAAGCTTAGTTTTTTTATGTGTCTGCTATGCTTTTTTTTAGTGCTAGTACAGACACAGTAGTGTCTGCATATTAATAAAAGTAATCATAGTCAGCTCTTGTTACAAAGGCTACAGTGGACTTTTCTTGTTTAAGTACCAACTATAAACTGAAAAGTAAGCTACTGCATCACCGTGTAACAGCCTTCTTGATATTTCTGTTTAAATATTCTCTGCTTTAACATTGATCATTACATGTTTGTGTGCTACCAGTAGCATATAATGATTATGTTAAATGATAAATGATAATAGTGAACTGTGATGTATTTGTTATTACAGCAAATTCAGCTTTTTTCTAAATAATTTCTTCTATGTTACAGGTTAACAGGCCTCCTCAACCATGGACAAAACCACGCATTACCCATCTTGCTCTGGATTTTGTTAGAATTACATGGTGGCTGGGTTTCAATTACCTGCTGCTGCATGTCGTTCACCTCAGTGCCATACAACTCCAGTTGGACCTCCTGTCCAGTTTACCACTGTGGACCCTCGGGGGTGTGGCATTTTGGAACTTTCAATTTTTCCAGACAAAATATGTGGTGATGTTTGGGTTGCCCAGTTGTTTTGCAAAGCTTGACCAGATGGAGCCACCAGCGGGGCCAATATGCATCTCACATCTTTATCTTTTCAGTACAATGTGGCAGTAAGTTTGTCTAGGTCATGTAGAGATAACTTTCAGAAACTTTTGAAAGAAATGTAATTTAACAGGCCCGTAGCCAGGGGGGGTTCGGGGGGTTCGAAAGAACCACCCCTTTTGCTGGGAAAAGGTCCACTCTGGGTAAAATTTGATCTACAAATGTAGGTACATGAAGTTTTTATGGGAAAAGGTCCACTTTTTCAAAAAACGAACCCCCCTTTTGAAATTGCTGGCTACGGGCCTGTTTAATATATTGTCAATTTGATAAACTAGAGAAGTCATGCTAAAATTTGAGATTGCAGTGAAAATATTCTCTAGGCACTTAATGCACAAACAACATGTATACTGCATACATGTTTTTTTTCTGATCAGTGAAAATTACTTATCGCATACTTGTGCATTCGTCGTTCTGTAGTTTCTTTGTATTTTTCTTGTTTACAAGTAGTAGATACACCATGAGTCAGCAAGGTGCATGTGATATACATACTGTAAGTGTGAAGCAAGTGTAGATCTCACACGCCTTGATGATGGTTGGTGTATATGGCATACACGTACGTGTATACTATAGCAAATGTTTAGAAAAAAATATCCAGGTGTGGTGCACTTTGGAATTTCCCACGCATGTGAGATACATCTTATCTGGGTCTTTTGTAGAAAAAAATAACATTTAAAACATTTTCTTTATATTGCAGACAATTTGACAGGGGACTATATCAGCATTTAAAGAGGTAGGGTTACTGTTTTTGATATTGAAACATGAAAAAGTTTTCAGAGGACCTGGCACAGCATTTAAACATAACAAATTGATCTTTTCCTTAATCATACCTGTTTCTGTTTTGATGATTGTTTTAGTATGAGTATCCTTTTTAATATTTCATCATAAAGGTATGCTGAGATATAGGTTTTTCATTTTTAGTTTCTTGTTCTTTCCTTGTTATGTCTGGGTATGGTTTACCAGGGCCCTGTATCTCGAAAGCATCGCGCATTGCAAATCGCTATATCAAAAAGAGGCTACAGTGTATTATATGGGATGAGTATGGGCGAGTAATGGAATCGAGACACTTGCGCATGTGCACAACATAGCGAAGCTTTCGAGATACGGGGCCCAGAACTACTGAAATCAAAAGCTGCTCTTAACTTTCTGATCTAAACATACAGTCTGCTTTTACCCAGTATAAATAAAAAGTAGTCTCCTGAATTAGGAATATGAAAATCGTTAAACAAAGTGTACAAAATGGCATGTTTTACATTAAAAAAATTGCTTCAGTTCAGTTAGATTTTAGATCAAAATTTTCTTTCTTTAATTTTAAGTTTAAGACCAAATTTTGACTTAAGTTTTTATTTATTTATTTATTTTTATTTTATTTTATTTTATTTTATTTATTTTTATTTTTGTGAGACTGGCTCTGATTTGGCACTTAATATTGGCATCTGTCTTTCAGGCATATTTACATTCCTCTTGGTGGATCCAGGCATGGTTTATTTTCTCAGCTCTTGGCCACAGCTGCCTGCTTCATTTTTGTGTACTACTGGCACGGGAATGAGGTATACCTGGCTTGGTGGAGTATCTTGAATTTCACAGGGGTAGTGATGGAAGTGATTGGAAGGAAGACGATTACTTCTGAAGCTGTTCAAAGGATGATGGTGAGTATGCAATAGTTAAGAAAATGCGCTTTTTTATCTCATTCCACAGAACATGCACTGGTTTTAATTCCATAACTTAAAAAAATGTATTGCAGAAAAATGAGTGTGGGGACAATATTCCAATGTGATAAGTATAAGGGGCCATTCCCAGACCCTATTATACTAACTGTGGATCGATCTATCTCCAAAGGGATTCTCGCTAAATTGCAATCAATTTAATTGAACACAATGCACAGTCAAATTAAAAGCAGTGCCCTGCCCACTTTGATGTCAGTTTGTAAGATAAATATGATACCCCATGTACAACCAGTTTATGCCAGAGCTACAGCAACTTACAGGGTCACTCATGTGATTACTTCTTCAGAAGAAGCATTGGTCTCCCAGTTGGCAGAGGAGGTTTCTTGCAGCATTGCTGGTTCCTAACTTCATCTTCTGCAGTATGGCCAGCTTGGTGTTTGTAGGTGGCAGCGATGCAGGCAAAATATACTTCAGAAGGCTCATTTTTGGTGGTAGGTGTTTTATGTGGGGATTTGTATGTATCGTGCGTGTATGTATGTATGCAAGTATGCATGCATGTCTGTATGCATGCATGAATTTTAAAATAAGTGCTTTTCCAACCTGTTTGTAATTTTTGTTTTGTGTGTGTGTGTATGTATCTGAGAGAGAGAGAGAGAGAGAGAGAGAGAGAGAGAGAGATCGGCAGACAGTGGACAGTGTGATACTTGGATCTGAACTTGTTTCAGTGTAAAGAATGTCTCTTATTTTTTCCTTTGGATATTGGAATATGACTGCAAATTTTGACTCATATGTTTGCTCGTTTTTCAGATTGGCCAACTTCCGCTTTTATGCTGTCTGCTGTTGTCTACTGTATTATACAAGTAGCAATTGAAATTGATTCTAAATCAGTTAAGAAAGATAAAGAGACCTGATGGTTTGGGTGGTCATTTGATAAAGTAGTGTTTCACAATACATAATTGGTGAAGAAGACACATCAGGGTAAATGACTGGCAGACAATATGATCTGTTTTTATAATGGTGCTTATCTTTTGTATTTCTCTCAGCAGAGCAAGGGTTGTTATTAAGTACATTCACTTATAGCTTTTATGGTGTCTATGTATGCATGCTCAGACTGACAGGTGACTAGTGTTTTACCTTCTAGAGATATTATACTCATACAGCTGAGTTTTGGCAATCGTTTCCGAATTTTTTGGAGCCAACACTTCAGTTATTCCTCATAAACTGCTTCATGAACTTGGAAATGAATGTTTTTAATTATTGTTGCTATGTTTTGACTACAAGAACAGAGAAGCAAGAACATTTCTCTGAAGAACTTTATCTTTTACTTTAAAGTTTTTTTTTTTGCTTTAACATCTAGTGAAGCATAATCAAAATAGTTATTTTCACGAAACTTTATTGTAAATAAGTCTTTTCAAATGTACACATTTCATAAAATGAAATAAAAATTCATTTAAAAAAACAGTCATTACAAAGATGCAGCTAGTCATGGTGCCATTGCATCACTCGTCAGGAAAGATCATTACAAAATATTAAACACTTCTTGTATTTACTAATTTCAGATTGTATGTTTTTTTTACTCAATTCATGCTGAAAAACTGTTTTCCAAATATGCACCAATTAAACTTAGACACTGTCGCCTATTTAAGTAGAAATTCTCTTTAAAAAAGCTATTCTTGCATGATATATCTGATAAAAACTTGGCAACTTAATTACTATTCATCATTATTTGAATGCTTTGCCAAGAATAATCAACCAAAACTTGGACATAATAACAAATTCGTTATTATGTCCAAGACCAAAAGAACCGAAATGTGCTTTCAAACAAGTCCTTAAAATAGAATGTTAGTTTACAAAAGCGATCAGTTTTTGGTACCTTGATAAGTGAATTGATAAACGTCTATTTGAACTGCATGACATGGGGTTTCAATCTCTTTCCAAAATCATTGTGATCACAAGTATACATGTGCAGAGATACCAAACTTTGGGTTTTGGAAGAAGGAAAGATTGAAGTGTTCTGTTTGTACCAAAATTACCACTTTGTTGAAATGTAGCATTTGTTGAAAGCCATTTTATAATTATTATTCTTGGAAATGTACAGGAGAGTATCCATGCTTTATGACACATCATTAAAAATTCGCTTTGAAATCGCTAGGTTTACGTTTTGAAAACCAAATAATACAGTTGCATGGTGCACACGTTTATGTATTCCTTTTGTTGTAAAATAACAGATCAATATTGGAATTTGAAATTTGCATTTATAGAAAATTATATCCAAAAATACAATTTTTATCTCTATCTTGAGTTGTCTAGAAAAAGGCTAAATACTTTGAACGACCTGTCAACCAAAGTAACCCTTCGGAAAATTGCAGTACTGTTAGATATGCGACGTACAATACACTGTTGGCTCGCTGCAGAATACAACTCTTTAATAAAATGTCCTCACTCGTTCGACTTCTCAAACAACCAAAATAGATCTTATCAGAATGCACTCGTTCAACAACTGTCAATGCAAACTTTCCAAGTCTTATGCTATAAGCCGACTATCTTACTCAACAACGGCAACAAATGCGGGTTGCAAATCTATTATGCCTCTCAGTTGAACATGACCTTTTTAGGTGGCCTTTCATGGGATTTAAGAGCGAAAAAGCAACAAAAAAGGAACTTTAATAACTAAAAACGTTCTTACTGCAACTTACCGATTTCTAGCGCTTAATTTAAAAATCTTCATATCGACCTCCAAAATTGAAATATATCTCATGAACATACGTTTCCATAACAACTATTTAATATACCCCCCTTTTCAGTCCAATTGCGCCAAAGCACAATATGTGAGCATTGGGCAGTACTTTCATTAGCGCAAAAAAAGTTGTAGCATGCCTTTTATACATATTTATGTATCGCAAAACGTGTCGAGACACCAAAAATCCCACGAACGGTCTCTTTTACTTACAGACGATGTGAGGGAAAAAAATATCCCCATGAAATGCCCGCCGCCATCCAATCAGCCACGAAAGTGGGCGTTGTTACCAGCAATAATCAATAATGATCACCATATTTCAATTTTTTCTCTTCATCTCTTCCTTTTTCTGTTACTTTTAGTAATACTAGCGTTGTTAGTTCCACACTTGTGAACATAAGCACCTCAGTTCCACTTCGCAGACGTTTCTTCTTCTTCAGACAACAAGGCCAAAGTGTGCCTCATGAAATTCCCTCTTCATCTACGTTTGAATGCACTATACGTAAATAACTGAGAAATCATCTCCTCGAATAGGCTGCTGCTCGCCTTACAAGCCGAGGGGCCGGTCGTTGCTGTTGGCGCTTCCGTCGCCACTTGCACGTTAAGATTCTCCAGTAAGTCCGTCTGAAGTTTGCATTGCACAAGGCATAGCACATAGGGTTCACTGTACTATTAATGTAACACAACCAATAACCTGAAATGTTTAAGGAAAAATATATAGACATATCTCAACCAAAAGCAATCAAAACGGTGCTACAAATGAATCTCAACCACAAGCAATGCAACAGATAGCGCTAATGCAATGGATATATTCACTCAGATAGCGATGCGAGAACTGTAATTATTACACCGAAAATCAAAGTTACAGATTTCTTGGAAGGTTCAGATCAACATTGATTTAAGTAACCATTTTTCTATTTCTGGGCATCATTACCAGGTGAAAATCTCATTTCGGTCTATTTGATTAGCTTGAAATACCCACGTAAACACCCCAGGCCTTTGAATGGCGTAATACGAGATCAATGCAAGAACTTAGCGTTAACGGATTACTACTGACATAATTCCAGACATTCCCCGCAGATATTCTACCAATACTGGATACCTCATGACACGTGCCAGAGCATCTTCCATCTGTAAAGTAATATAGTTTTCCCCTCACGTGCTTCTGTTGAAATACAATATATTTGAGTGATGTACAGTGAAAGTTGTGATAGACTTTTCCACATGAAAAAGCTGACACATGTCCGGAGCCCCGTAGGCCACTCTTTTTAATCTCTTGCTTTGCAGGCCCACAAGAAAATGCCAAAAGAAATATATGTATAATTTAAATACACAAAACTGGCATTAGACATCTGTTGCTCTACAGAAAGAGCCTCATCTGACCAGGAAACAGATACAAGAGCTTGCCAGAGCGAAAACTTCACTGGCCAACTCCGGTGAAGTAAAAAGTAGATCGCGTGCTTTCTTGATACCAGAGTTAAATTTTCATTTTCCTCCCAAACTGCCAGACATATATATATCTATATGGGAAAATCTGGCCGTATAAGTTTTCGCTGTGTTGTACACTGTTAACTTGCCAGAGTTAAACCCAAGACAAGGTAAAACTAATCTTATGGAAATGTTTTAAATTTTGAATAGGCTTATGGATTGTTTTGAGTTGTGAATAGATCTACCAGAGTTCAAAAGTAGATTTTTGAAAACTTACTCATATCGAGAGGCATTATTAGGAAACTAATGTGAAAATAAATGTAGGAGACAGATAAATGATACCCGATAGGGTTAAATTTGTAAATGTGTGGCTAATAAAGTTTCTTTGTTAAAACTCGGCATATGACACTGTAACACAAAAACAAGGTATGGCACCCCTTTTCGTGTGATATAGACAAAAAAATCTTCCCGTAAAAGATTTCCCTGTGATAAGCACTATTAACGCCCTTGAAATCATTATGTCAGAGTTTTGATTAAGAAAATGGTAACTCTAATCTTATGGAAATATTTCGAAATTTGAATTGGCTTATGGATATGTTTTGAATTGTTAATAAGTCTACTACGGCTTAAGAGTGCATTTTTGGAACCTTGTGCATAACAAGAGACATCATCATGGGAGTTACTTACCCTCAACCAGGGCCGTGGAGCGATTTTTTTTATCATTGGACATTCACATATTTTCATTAGACATTTACATATTTTCTCTGGCTGCACTGGCTGTGCACAAATCTGCACTGCGAAAATTATTGCACAAAAATGACGTCATCACTCAGCCGGCCTCTGGTAGAGAGAAAGAATTACTGTGAAAATAACTGCGGGGAACAAGCACCAGCGTCGTTTGACGGACTTGGGTAGAAGATAATTATATGTATAGGGTAGATATACGGTCTGAGAAACGTTCCCTTGGTGAAAATCGACATATTGCATAAATAAAATTGTGAAGCTACTCTATTCTGAAGAATAAAAATTTCTTTCTCTATGAGTAAATTTTCTAGGCTCGTCGTCCTCTTTCATGTGTCAAAGACAAAATAATGATCATGTGTAAATGTTCGGCTTGGGTTTTTTTATCCTTCATATGACAGAGAATAGAAAGTCAAATGAGACTAGTAGAACCAAGCAGTAGCCACACTAGCTTCCAAGGAAAATGAACCCAACGCTCTCCTTTATAAATGGTTTACCAGTAAACAGACGAGTTGGAGGCGTAATATGAAAATAAAATGCGATACAAAGAGCTTGGTCACTTAAAATTCTGTTATGGCATTAGGGGAGCTTGCTTATTGCTTTTGATGCTTTTAAACTGAATTTGACATTAACTCGCTGTGGGATTTGTTCATTAAAAGGCAAAAGGTTGCAGAAGCTTTCAGTGATTTAATTAATTCCAGCTTTGATTAGAAAAGAAAGAAATCGGAACTTTTTATGTCGAACACTAAAACTTGATAATGGTCTAACATTTTGAACTGTACTTTCTACTAGTATTCTCTCTGTCGATTGCGGAGCTACTCAATACTTTAGAACACAAAATGCATGTTATTTTTTTAACATGGTTTCACCAGTGCAGAACTGCTATTTGAAACCGAGTTACAGTATATTACAGTAAGTTACAGTGTATTATATCTGTTATCAATGAGGACACTCTTCCAAGAAGTCACTAATCACTTACAGATAACGGCACATTACAAATGACGAATCAGCGATTGTAAGCAAAAAAGTAAGAAGAGCCTACACATAATTGGTGTTCAGTTTTAGTTGTTGTCCTAGACCTTCATGTATATGCATTTGTGCGTTCAGAATAATCATCATATTGATTTTTACCAATATTGAACGCCTTTCTATATGAATTTTGTTCACGTGACAGTCAAAACATTTTCCAGATTTTTACTTGAGGTCTCTTGGTTCTCAAATACCAAAAGTAAGCATTGGGGTTGGGAAGTAAGATTTAACTGGGAGAGAAAGCAGAAGAAAACTAAAGGTTGGCATGTGCTCACTTTAACCCCCCTCCCCCCCCCCTCAAATCTGCATTTCAGTCAAACTCCAAACTGTGGACTAAGCGGGACATCATGATTCTAAGGCTGCATTCAGAACAGCGGACAAACTAGTCCACGGGTCAAATATGGCCGACCCACCTGAATACTTCCCCACGGGGAATCTATTCAGTGTCTATTAGCGGATTAGACGGCAAGCTTTTTTTTTTCGGTCGCCATATTTAGCCCGCGTAATAGTTAGTCCGCGGTTCTGAATGCAGCCTAAAGCCTCATTCAGAAAAGGGGACTAACTAGTCCGAGGGTCAAATATGGCCGACCAACTTAAATACTTCCCCTCGGGATACCTATTCAGTGTCCATTAGCTTTTTAGTGGGTCGCCATATTTGACCCTCGGACTTGTTAATCCCCTATTCTGAATGGGGCCTTGAAAATAGATAATCCGAGTACTAACTGATCCGCCAACTAACTATGGCCGATCACACTTCAAAAGAGATGCCGCTGATTCTCCCCGCCTCCACACGCACCGTCGCTGCAGGGGCCTAGCAATGATATTTAATCCGTTTTATGGCGCGTGTGGAGGCGGGGAGACCAGGAATCAGCGGCATCTCTTTTGAAGTGTGGTCGGCGGGTCAGTTAGTACTCGGATCATCTATTCTGAATGGGACCAAGGTTCCGCATATTATGAATACGATACGTACCTATGTTGTATAAAGTCCCTGGGATACAGTTCTGACAGAAAGGGTTGATCACAGCAAAGAGGCTGTAAGGAGTCCAGGTTATTATAAAAGCTAAAAGAATTGCACTAAGAGTTTTGGCAGCTTTACTGTCCTGTTTTTTCTCTAACTTCTTTTTCATTCTTTTCTGATTTTTCATTTTATTGGCCACTTTGTTAACAAGACGAAGTTGCATTTGTTGTCTAATGGCGTCGTTTGAGTGTACTTTCCGCCCCAAAGCTGGGGTGCCCGGAGCACGTCCTCGAGGAACCCATGGCCCGCAGCTTATAGAACGGCGTATACCAGGGTTTGCCTCGTCATTCAAATCGCACAGAGTGGTTTCTTTCGTCCCGCCGTCATCAATATCGGAGTAGTTGTATTCACTTTCTGTGCTATCCCCTCGAATCATTTGAATTTTAGAACAGGAACTGGTATCTCCTTCTTTTCCAAGCTTAATGACTATTGTGTACAACGTATCTTTTTGTTTGTCATCATGGGCCGGAGAATGATAGTTATCTTCCTGGTTGTGATTTGAATCTGCAGTTGTCGCATCTGCGTTTGAAGTTCCCGCCGCGTGCTGACTCATGCCGTCACGTGATTCTGATGGCGTCGCAGGGTTGATAGATATTAGCGGCATGGTGGTGACGCAACGCTGCACGGGCTTGCCGTTAAGGTGGCTGTGCCGGGATACCCTTCTGTTGGAAGAGTGGTGGCAGACGGCAGAAAGATTATCATCAGTCGACATTCTTGGGTCGCTGGAACTAGAATCCTCGTGTTCCGGGTCCCTGTCGATAGCTAAACAAGAACATGTCTTAACTTTTTGCCAGACTGTCCTGCGATGTACGGTCATCTGTTCCACTTGGACAGACTCGTTATCGGACATGTCTTCTAAGTTTTCTCGGGATATACTATTCACCTGGTGGTTCTGCCTCGTAAAATTACTAGTAGACGTCAGATCGTCGTCGCTAGAACTAGATTTTGATTTGTTCTTGTCCATTTTCTTGTCAGCTTGAAGATTTTTTAATTCCTTTTGTCTTTTCCGGGTCTCTCCGTAGATCCGTAAATAAAGAACGCACATTAGAGTCACGGGTAAATAAAATGCTTCGATGGTAAGAATTCCTGCAAGCCATTCATTAGTTTGAAGGAACTGTATGTAGCACTCGCAGGCCGGTACTGTCCGTCTGCCTTCTATGTAGGGCCATGAGATGATCAATGGCGTCCATAGGATGAAAGATATGCTCCATGCTAACGATATCATTATGGCGGCCCGACGTGGCGTACGTTTAGCACGGTACGTCAAAGGTCGGGTGATGGACAAATATCGGTCGAAGCAGATGATGATCAGGTTGGCTACGGAGGCGTTACTCATGGTAAAATCCATGGCCAACCACGAATCACAAATGACAGGACCGAGCGACCAGCGCCCCATGATAAGATAAGCGGAGTAAAGAGGCATTGAAAAGAAACCGATGAAAAAGTCGGCGACGGCAAGGCTCAGTAAAAAGTAGTTGTTTACTGTCTGTAAATTTTTGTCCATTTTGAATGATATGAGGACCAATAAATTTCCCCCTGCTGTAACTACTGAGAGTATGACAACAAGTATTGATAACAATACGGTCTCTGTAGTTGAATGGGGGTTCGTCTTGTTCGCGCATCCATCGCTAACAAGGGAAACGTTACCGAAGAGTGTGAAATTATCCTTCAAGTCATCCCAGGGACTTTGCGACGTTAATATATCATTTACGATGCTGTAATTCCTGCGAGTGACCTCATCCGTTGGGTCGTCATGGGAGTAACTTAACACCGAAGTCTCTTCGCTGAGATTGACCCAAACAGGGGCAAAGAACTCGGGGACAGGTTCCATACTGTACGTGCCCGCGTCCGCCAGCCGGAATCAATCTTCATTTGCGAAGTAAAATTTCCAAAAGATTGTCCCTGCATTTAAGCGCTCCTGGAGACGGCGGACACCCGGAATTCTCGATTCGACGACTTGCTGCTGATTAGAACGGCGACTGAGAGGAAGTATAGGTCGAACGATCGATACAGCTTGTTCTCAATCCTCCTGCATGCTGTCAGTTGTATATAAGCTTAACAACCTAAAACAAATAGAAACACACAGGGCGTAAGGGAATATTATCTGTATGGTCTGTCTAATTTATTGAACACCAATTTTACTAGTGTAACATAGTTCGCTAATTAATTAAAACCAAAGTAACCACAAGGTAATTTAATGAGGCCACAAAGTGCGGCTACTATAACATCTCTCCAGTTCAAACAAGACCCGTGCACAATAGGTGAGAGTATTTGTGTTTATTCAGTAGAAAAAGAGTCAACAATGCACTACTTTATTCCACAATACCACTTAAAAGATAATTCACTTTTGTATGCTGTTTGAGTAACAGTATGTCCCAAACTCATTTTCGAAGGCTGCGGTCTATACGCTTGGTAGTGTACTGAGGTATTTATTCCCCAGAACAAAAAGACGTCAAACTAAATGGTAAATGTCGCTTTTTTACTGGTATATTCAGCAAGCGAAGAGAGCAGTGCCTTTTAAAAGACTGTCAACAGTCTCTTTTTTATACATTAGAAAATAGTAATCTCAAAGATAAACCATCCCTTTCAAAAAGCCCTCACCACACCACTGCTTGAGAATATACAGACAGTGACACAGGCCAGTTTCATAAAAAATCTACCTGTTTGCATGTTGTTGTCACATCAGTTAGCATTTGACATGCCGAACAGGTTTCTGTACTTTGGTATGTGATTATATTATTGGTATAGCGCATATATTTTTGATCGCCCGTCCAAATATTTATTAAGATAACGTGACGGCAAACATTACCTCTTGCCTAAATCATAACTCTCACGCAATATGACCACAGACCTGTGCAGTTCAAATATGTTATGTTGTCCTGAAAGTAAAAATAATACAGGGAGTTATTTTTGAATTGATAAGTATTATTGCAAATTATGTCTTACGCCAAAACATATAGGCTAAACTAGATTACTTGTGGAAAAAAATCAAAATTCGAAATCCAATACGTCTGATATTCAAAAGAAATGAATGCAACGTTTTGAACAGACGGAAAACGACAAGGGCTAAGATATCATTGCCGAAAACGCAACAAAATTCCTTTAAACTGGATATTTCCTGCCGAGAAGTAACTTATTCCGCCATTAAAACCACTGACTCAACTCCGTACTTACTCAATATTTATATCTTTGCACACAACAACCAGTTCCCACTGAGAAGATAGATACAGCTCTCATATTTTTTCTGCTTTAAAAAAGGACTATTTCACCCCGCCGGAGCCTTTAAGCCAATCGACATCTACAATAGCACGTTTACGATGTGGAATATCACGCAAAAGAGGTGCAATATCTCAGATCCCCGTAGATAAATACCCGATATAGTACAGCTTCACATACTTCATTAGGCCCTTACCTTTTAGTCCTTTTTTATGTTTATATTCCTGCACATTGATCCTAAACATAATTTCCTTCGTTACAATGAGATGACCGGTAATTAAACACACCCATTCTTAAAATGCAGAACGCTATTCTGGCTTAGAGAGATCAAACATTGTGTTTGATAGACTTAATGTCCGTTTATTTACCCTGAGGTGACTTTTCACTGTCGTGAATTCCTGCTAGTCTAGGTAATGTTCAGCTGCACACAATGGTAAGAATATTGATGCAGTTTAGTTGTCAGTTGAAAATTCGAATGCGGTCGTGCTAAACTTGGTAAATTTGTTTTTGTTTCATTTAGTGAGTACTGTCATCTATTAAACCCTTCAAAGAGGTTACAGATCCCCTTCTAATAAATTAGTTGCTGGTTAAAAAAACAGCAAGACACTAAGCTAGTTGAATCCACCTACCACACGTACTATAAGAAAAAAATTAACATCTTTCATAAATATCTATAATTCGTATCATACAGTCACCATTAGCTAAATTGTTTCATTACAGTAATTGCAGTGGTATTATTTGCTTAGTTTTCTAGACGACGGGGGCCTAACATGCTTTTATCAATTCCAAACACATGTCCCTGACCACAAAATCATGACAAGAACCAAAAATATCTTTTGGGTGTAGGAGGGGAGACAAACTTGTTTAACCTCCATTGGAGCCCCGTTCTGATCCTAAATAGAAAAAGCACTAAAGACAAAGATACATTTTCCATGTAATTAAAAGTACAAAACACCACAAATAGTACAGTGCACCATAAGTAATCATAATCAGGACACGCCATCGTTCGCTTTTTATGTCAATCATGACGCCACGATGTAGAGTAGAGCAAATGTTGTCATCTTAAGTTTGACAGTGAAAGTTTGTCCCATCTATAAAACATTGCAGTAAGCGGGTGGGAGTTGAATGAGATCTACTCTGTCATTGCCTGTACATAGTTTTGTGCTTATACGTCACTCATATGGTTTCTTGCAGCCAAATTATCCATCGTTCCAAAGCCACTTGATGCATAATTAAGTAATAATGATTCGCGGCAAATACTGTTGTATAGCAGTTCACTTAATTCAAGAACCACTTCATCAACAACAGATGTATTTGGTTTTTGATAATCAATACGCACTTCTCATACAAAGTGAGGTTACGGAGTCGCACCGAATTGCTCTGACGTAACATTGGCTTATAACATGTTAACACAGAGTAGATTGGAGGAGACCACATTGACTAAATTATTCATCAGTGCTGTGGTATTAAAACGAGCATGCTACAACACTGAAATATTGTTACCTTTGGTTTAAGGGCAATTTCAGTTCATTTTTGTTTAGGACAAGAAAGCCCCAATGTACCGACAAACTAATCAGGAAATAGTTTTGTCATTGATCAAACATATAAGATGAACTAATTCAAATATTTTTATTGAAAAAATTAATGCAGGTGTTTTATATGCATGACCCAACTTATCAAAATAATAGGCGTTAGTGACTAGTTTACACATACATGTTTAAACAACCTGACCTGCCTCGTTTATACAGTAAAATGAAGTTGTTATCTATTCAACGTGCCCCCATTACATCAGCATACTAGGGTTACATGTAACCGGTATTCGCCGTTTTCAAAAGAAAGATTTTGTTTGTCAAAGGTTTGTTCGTGACTGACAGGTTTATCCGTCGCCTGGAAACTGCAAGAAACACGTGCATCTTGCACGCACCCTGCGATGCCCTGTGCCACGACCTAATCATGCATAAGCTCCTTTTGTCACAGCTATTTTGTACGATTTGGACTACGTGTACATTCGCTCAGTGCAAGTGATAAAAATCTGTGACTGTATGCCGGTAGAGTCTTCATTCGTGTACAAGTGGAGCCAATAGCATTTCTACCAGTTCTTCGACTGAAGTTACACGTTTTCTACCAATTTTCATGTACATTTCCATTGTGTAAGACGTTAAAGCATTATTATAATTGCTGTAGATACACGCATACAAACTGTAGTGTAGACAACACAGTCTACGACAGCAGTCAGTGAGCAATCGGCCATCTTAAAGTGTTCACGTTTTCAAATTGTTATGAACATAACTCGCAAGTGCGCCATCAATTGCAATGTGATCAGTCGAAAAGAGCTGCATCCTTTAAGCGACCACGCCTCGTGAGCACAGTTATCTTGTACATTTTAACAAATTAATTTTTTTCTCTATATTTTAAAAGTGCCACCCGCTTACAATCCACTAAACAAGTGACTTTTACGACCTGGTCATCACATATACATATGTGTTTATTTGGAATATTAAACGCATTCACTGAACATGTATAGTTTTTTCACGTTACCCAGCTTAAATTGGCAGTTTGATGGTGTGTTCAAACTAAATGTTTTAGAAAAATAGTAAAATGGAATGCCTTAAGTCAAATGAATTTGAAACTGTGCTATTAAATATATATATTAAATATATATTTTCATATGCTTTAAAGCAGTTGACACCATATTAATACATCTTTTCATATACGTAAAAGTAGTTGATATTATGATATTACATTTTTTTTCATATACCTCAAGGTATTTGGCACCATGCTATTAATTCTTTTCGTATACCTAAAAAGGACTTGGTATATGATAATACATCTTTTCATAAGCTTAAAAGCAGTCAAGTTGGCACCAGGCTATTACATTTTACATACATCTAAAAGTAGTGGACACCATACTATTACATTTTTTCATAAGCCCAAAATAAGTTGGTCCCATACTACTACATCTTTTCATAAACCCAAAAGTAGTTGGCACCTTGTTTTGACATCTTTTCGTGTATCTAAAAAGTAATGGATACTATGCAATTACATCTTTCCATATGCTTGGAACTTGAAAGTAGTCGGTACCATATCTACTCGTGGGCTGGGCGTAATACTTCACAATATATGGAAATTGGGAATACCTTTAGGTCGTTTAAATTGTTACAAAATAGATGAAGACCAAAATATCCAGTGAACCAATAATGTGGTCAGATCACGTTGATACCCGGTTGACTAAAACTAGATGCGGATGAATACACACATCATGAAAAAGCACAATTACCCAACAAAGTCAGGTCAGTGCCCTCAGATGTACAGTTATTACCAACCACTGATTGTAACTGTGGAATCCACACGGTTGATCACTTTAAATCTGTTGTCAGACGTTCAATGAATAATAAAATCGGTGCACGGAGACGTTCGAAAGACAAGGGCAATGGCCCGAACACTTTTAAAAGCAAATTATGTCGTTTTTCTTCTAATTTTGTGATAACCAAGAAGGTGTCTTATCAGAATTTTTTATGGATTGCGTCCAATGCGTAATAGCAGGTCAATGTTTATCCCCAATCACTCTTTCTCAAGGAATATTTTTTATCCAATACCATAAACTCCGATTCCCATTTGTATTCGGTGTACTTTTACTATGTCACTTTGCCACAAAAAACTCATCTTTCATTCCATTAGTAACACACTTCTAAAACCAACGCCAATTTATTAAAATGACAAAATGGCGAAAGCAAATGAGTTCAAATGAATATATACATATGCTTCAGCTAAATCCAATAAATGAATCAAAACAATTGTCTCTCTCTGTCTAAGAATTTTAGTTAAAAGCCTATGAGACATCGCTGGCAGTTGTGTTGTAAAATTTGATCCACCGATGCACAGCGTTTTAATTAGCATCAATCATTATTGCCCACTGGGACTGATAGAGAATGTCACTGAAGGTGTCTTTTTCCTTGCCAAAATTGTAAAGATTGTTGGAGATGCATTGCCACGTACGTACGCTTTTTTAAAACTAAAGTAGACCTCTCCCATCCGTGATTGTTTGAACTCTTTGCTTTATCTTCACCCTTCGTTTGTTTCAAAGCATTTCAAAACAAACCTGTTTGTCTTAAGCTTTGACGTAAACATCGAGCCAATCTTAAAACCTTAATTGGACAATCTTGATGGGCAAAATTAACAACATCAGAGTGGGCTAAATGCGAAACCATTAAACAGGAAGACCTTATTCGTGGTTCAAAATGGGCACATGGTTGGTGAAGGTACAGGTTTATGTACAGGGGGTTAAGGAAACATGGGCATGAAACAATTAACAGGGAGGTATTTCTATGTATGGTGCTTGATGTATATAGCGATTTAATTCCGGAGTGACAGGGAGGGTAGCCCTAGGAATGGAAGTCCCGGGCCCCATATTATTAGTACAAGATATAGGTTAAGTAGGAATATTGGGTTAGAAAATTAGACGAATGTCACCTGTATAAAGTAATGGGGAACGGACTACGGTTCCTAGCGGACTACCATTCTTGTCACACAGGGCATCGATCCTTCTTGCCCTGATGGTTCAAATGCACACAAATTCAATCTAGGCTAAAATGCGTCTGTTATCTTCAGGTAGTTACTTAAAGTAGAGTGCCAACACAGATTTGTGCGAATACTCCAGGGAAGC